ACCCTTGAAAAGCCAGAAAATCAGGGTACCTGGGTACCTTTGAGCTCATTCGGATTTAGGGTCGGATTCTGAAAAATAATACAAGATTTAGGCTCGCATTCCGTTGAATAATTGCATATTTTGAGCATTCGGAATCATACCTTGGTAGTACGGTACCTACAGCCTACAGGCTACGGTACATACCTACCTACCTAATCGATCTGCAGAAAGGAGAAATGCCATGCAGTGTGCACTCAGTACCATGTCAGGGGTACCATGTCAGGGGAAAGCAAAGATTCTTCAGATTTGCAACCGTCGGTTACTCGAGAAGTCAGCTGACTCAATGGACGGCTAATATGTTCTGTCCGGCCTTTTTAAACCGTTGAACTGTCCCATGTGGCATATCCTCAGGGAGTTGCTCAATGATTGGAGGGATCATCCAGCCAGATTTTCAAAAATATGTAGGTTACAGGTAGCAACGTCCGCACTCGTGTGAGATCCTGACTGCACGGCAAAGCATCTGACGTGAGGCAGGCGTAACCTGTTGCGGGGGCTTTCTGAGAAAGTTACAAACCGCAGGCACACGTACCGGTAGTACGTAGCTACCCAAGGTTACCACACTCGGTAAAGTTGGAAGATTTCGAATCTCTCAAATGACATATGGACCGGTGGAATAGAAACTTGATGGGGTACTTTTTTGACTTCAAATGACCGTTTTGTCGAGTATCAGCCACCAGTTCTAAATTATTTAAAGCAGGTAAATCTTTCAAAGGTAGGTAGGGGGTAGGTACTAGGTACCCTCAAGCAAAATGGTTGATCCGCTGCCCGGCTGTATACGTGTCAAAGTAACCCACCTTAACCCACCAGGTAGGTGGGTACTACGAGGAAGCTGAAACCGGAACCATTACGTACACGGCGATACTGATGCTGCGGTTTGTGGCTTTGCGTGAGATTCGCACTGCAACTTGCAAGGCAAAGCCAGGTCTGGTACGGTAATACTAGGTAGGTAGTAGGAGAGGGCTCAGTGGTGCTCACATTCGCCGCTTGGCAGCTGCTTGCTAGTTAGGTAGGGTCGACAATGGTCGACATATATGACTGTGCTGAGCTTGAGCTGCGCCCCATTGAAAGCGGCCCTAGACTCTCGCTGCAATGAGGCGGCTTTTGCATGCATTGGCGGGGGACTGCGGGTCCCGCTGCGACAGCGCAATGGATTCGAAATACGTGGTGGTTGCGATGGGGGAGAGTGCTGAATCCGCTGATGTCTCAAGTTGTCCTCTCTTTGAGCTATCGTGTGACAAGGACCTGAGAGACGGGGGCAAGTGGTGCCGATTGAGAGGGGCGCTGAGGCGAGCCTCGTTGGGGACGAGACTTATGTTGACGGCCGCCGGATGTCTCCTCTTTGTTGCCTTGGTCGGTTTCTTGACCTCTCCGAACGGGCTATTACGGGGGTGTGATCTGATGAGGTAAGTTTTTCAGTGTGTGTGTTTGTGTATGCATTGTGTATGGATTTGTGGATGGATTGTGAGGTGGATGGTTGAGCAGTTGAAATGGACAGTGTTGTAGAGCAGATTGACAGGTGTGCTTCTGAGCTGAAATCGGTTCCGTTGAGTACTCTCAAGTGAAAGGAATGTGAGATATCAGGGGCCAAGTGAGTGTCCAGGATCTGCAAGGAATTGGGCCAGAGATACTCCCATCACACCTGGCCGCAGTCCACAATCTCATCGATGTGTCAGTGACAAGGTTTTCTCACTGTGGAAGAGTGATTTGTTTCCCTAAGAAGTTGTCTTTGAAATACCCTCACGAGAGAGAAATATGCTCTAATGAAGCTTGAGGAAAGTGTGGCGCCTGCACAAAGGACGCACACGAGTGTTCATTTGAGGCGCTTTGTGGCTTGCATCAACGTTGCTGATGTGGGGATTGATATCTGCAGTGATAATGTGCGTCTGAGAATCAGTGGGGTTGATAACAGCTGACGTTCCAGAAATGAAGCCAGCATATGGGACACCCACCCTGCTTGTTTCCTTGGAGGAGCTCCACTCTCCTTCTGGATGCTTTCACTCCCACCACTATCAAGCGACATTCGAAGCAACTACACTTGAGCTATCCTGCTCTTGTTCAATGGACTATTCGCAAGCCAGTTCTTTCTGGAGTGCTGACGCTCCGGCACAAACTCTGCCACAGGTTTTGCAGGCCTGTCATTTTTCCATTGGAACCATTTCCTTCTGATCCAGATGTTGTTGCGTCCCTTTCTTTCTCATTCAGTCAGGTCCATCGGCGTTGATCAAAAGGCAAAGTTTCATGAGCAAGTTTGTCTTTGACTATTTCAATCGCTCTCACTGCAGCCATCGCCCTTTCCTGTCCATAGTCACTCTCCGCTCATCCACTTGCACTGCCAGCAAGCACTGACGTCATCCTCAGTGCATGCCGAGGTCATCCGCTCAATCGCTGACGTCACCCGTACTTTCTTGCACAGGGAAGCCATTCGATGGGCCAATTGGGAGCACATCTCTGAACAGAAGGCTGCCATGACACGCTACGGCGTCGAGAGGGATCCCCTTGAGCTGAACAAGATGCCAATCTGGGTGGTGTCGCTCAAGAGGGCCAACGAGAGGCGGCAGAAAATCCAAAGCCAGATGGACGCGCAGAAGATTGGTTTCACGTTCATGGATGCAATCGACGGGCTGAAAGAGCCCGTCAGGTCGGAAGAGGTGAGAGGGGCTTGGGAAATTGGTGTGATTGCCGTTACGTTCAGCTGCTTTAAGGTCAGTACTGAAGGGCAGGTATGATATCAGTCGTTCTGCAGACCTTTGGGGTTCACAAGATAGAAGTTCAGCTCAGATGAGGGCGTCAAAGGAAACGACACAAGTAGAAGTGCCGTTACCATACCATTCGTGAGAGCTATTGAATCATGGAGAGCACCAGAGAGTGTGAGGAAGGAGTTGTGCTCAGAAGCACAACAGTTCTTATGGGATTGCCTTGTTGACCATCTTCCTACCAAGTACTGAACTTACATAAAGTCCAATCGATTCTGAGCTTAGCACCAAATTATTGCTTGTAGAATACATGGCAGTACGCGTTCTTCGCTAGGCTTTTCAAGCAAACTGTAGTGTCCATGGTGCACATGTATCGGAGGAAGTTGTTGCACGAAAGCAATCAGAGTGAACGAATTTTATGCATGCAATCTATCACATTCAAAGTCAAAACCGGTTTTTCAGTCTGTGTATGCAGTTGGCGTTGTTTGCTGGGAGGCGCGCAAAAGAGTACAAGCAGGGCGTTGAGCATGAGCTCAAAAAGGTGGCCACCGACGTCACCAACTGGCGTCTGATGCACCGGATGCTGGCGGAGAAGTTCCCGCTCGTGCTCATCATGGAGGACGACTTCCTGCTGCCGGAAGGTAAGGAAGTCTAGAGATTCTTTGGGCTGAGTTGATATCAACTCAGCCCTAATTCTCCTGATCTGCTGAAACTTCTAGCTGGTGAAGGCAAGATTTACGTTATAACCTTCTAGTAGCTACCAGCAAATTGGAAGTCTGAACCTTCGAAAAGGTTGGCTTGTCCCTTCGGATCTGTTGCTTTATGGTCTGCACGGTGCAGAAAGTTGGCGATGAGGTCAGATGTTCCATCTTACAGCGACTTTTTGAAGCCCCGCGACGCAAGAAACGCAGTCACTCATCACTGACTGCTGAGTGACTCATTCCTCACCAGTCGTGCGGCTCATTCCTCACCAGAGAAAAGCATTCGATACAGTTACCGGATAATGACGTTTCTCAGATCCATCTCATGCAGACGACTCTCCTCTGAGCAGATGTAGAAGGCTACTTATCTCAATGGGATTGTTGCCGTCGCCGGGGTTGTCGCCGTCGCCGTAGCCAAATCCTTTCGTTGTAAGCCGATTGAGAAGACCGTTTGAAAGAATCCAGGAATCTGGAATTCGGAAAACCCCAGCTTGGGAACTGAAGCCTGTTCTAAATACCGGTGCCAGGCGACTTCCTGTCGCGCTTGAACGAGACGATGGCGCAGCTGCCGGCGGACTGGGACCTGTTTGCGTTGAACGGCTGTTCGATGCACAAACACGGCCACACGCTCGGGAGGTTCGTCGGGCGGGGGGTGCGCGTGTTCAAGACCGGCAGTTGCACGCTGGCTGTTGTAGTGCGACGAGAGACGGCCATCAAAGTGAGAAACATAGCATCACAGTTGAAATACTTGCCGGTCAAAAGCGTTCAATCCAAAGTCGAGTGGTATGCTGGATTGTTGGGCGACGAGAGACCGCCATCAAATTGAGGGGAATCGCATCGTGATCTAGATGACTTAGCGTGCTGGTCTGAAAACTTTGGGGAAGCATAGGATTCGAGAAATTGTGTGGTATGTTTGAGATTCAGGTTTACAGACCCGGAGGCTTCTGTTGGTGCAGAAAAGCCTGTTTATGTTGGCGAAAGACGGCCATCAAGGTTGGGGGAGTGACTCCGGTTTCTGGGACTTGTGTCCCTTAAATTCCGTTTCTGCTACGCCTGAGAGGCTGATCAAGCTGGAAGTTGACCCGGATCGTTGAGACCTTTCTGAACATAAACGGCAGGATTGCTTCGACAATGTTAATCAGGGATTGCTGGTTTCTTCGCCTGCCAAGAGCTTAAGGCAGAGCTTTTGACCATGTTACCTGCCGTCTTTTATTCAAGACGAACGGACATCTCTGCCTGACTTGTTCTTCTTCTGTAGAGCTACCAAGCACAATTTTGTCGGCTACGTTGGCTTGGTAACATTCTCGACTTCTGAACGCTCCATTTCTGATCATCTGGCGAGGAAGTGCTTCCGTTTTTCAGACTATGCGTCCATGCGTTGCCTCCAATTCTGCTAATAAGGCAGGCAGCTTAACTTCAGCTTGACCTAACCCCACCCTTATTGGCGTTAACCGTGTCTGTAACCCTGTTCTCACAGGTACTCAAGGCTGCCGAGCGCCAGCTCCGGGTTCAAAATTGGGATAACCTAATCATGGGCTACATGGCCCAGACCGGAGAGCTTAACACGTATTTGGCGGACCCCCCACTTTGCCTTTTCAATGAGAAGATGCCCAGTAGCATCGAACCAGGCAAGGAGCCTATTCAAGACATCCTGAGGCCTTGAGGGGGCCGGGGGGGGGGGTTCGCGCGACGCTCACAGAAAGTGTGGGTTGATTTTGATTATGCTACGGACGCTTTGCACTGCAACTGGAAAGTTGCGTTGGCGGGACCTAGAAGTTGAGGTTGCCCGGTGTTGTTTTGGTTGAGTAGCGATGATCTGGTGATTGACAGGAGGCGCACCTCGAAAGAGGTGGTCTATGCTAGCTGGCTTGGCTGGCACCTTGTAAGTGAGGTGCTGTGGTGAGAGCAGAGTATTGATTGTCTTAGAAGATGCTCGAAGAGAGCATTGAGCGATTTTATATTTGTAGCAACATGAGGTTGCATCAGCAATTCTGTAGGGGCAGCTGAGTGAGGTGTAAGTCCGTAAAATAATTGTTTCCAGTTGTAACCATGCACGCACTATTGGGTACATTCGCCTGACCAAAAGCTGGTTCACCGATTTCATAAGCTGGGCAGAAGAGGAAACTGCATAAAATATAAGTCCGCGCAGTGTATACGATTCTAAAAAGGAGGTTGGGGGGACTTTATGCCGTTGCTCCATGACGCCACTTCGAAAATCAAATCGACGGTTGTGGCATCTTGGGTGTGAACAAGGTGTCTAGCTGAAACGTGACATGATGGCCTGGTGACGTTTGCTTTGCGTGTAGTACTTAAATATCCAGAACCCACATTATGCAGTGCAACTTTTGAAGTTTTCGCGCACGGGACCGCTACGGCGCGACGCGCGGTTTCAGGCCTATTTGCGAGGTTTTACCTCGATACCCGGTCGGTCCTACCTGCAAATTACCAATTTATCGACCTCCGTAGACCTCCGATAATTCGGTGTTTCCTCGGCCGGATCGAGGTTTTAAATTTCAAATTACCGACTCGGCGATACTGTGAACTGGGCCAATTTCTGTACGGAAAATGACGTGGCCCTGCCCTACGACAAATTTTCGATCGCGACCGGACGGTCCCGACCGGGTGGTACCGCCCTCCGTTGCACCGTCCGATGACATTTTTGAGAGCGTTATGGACGAACTGAATGAGTCGCTCAGGTACCTCAAAAGGCGTTGGGGCTGGAGAGGCCCCGTTGCAGGTTAGAAGACCCACGGCCGGGACTGGAAAGTAGGTACACCATGAAAACACGGGGCCTCGAGCCATGAGGAAGGAGGACCTTCGAGTTCCTTGCTGCAATGGCGTTTTACACCAAGGACGGAGCCACCATGGCCATGGCTTCCAATACCTCTTGGGATGGAGTTTGGGGAAAGGGGCAGAAAATTGGAAAGTTGCAACTCAATATATACCCATTGGACTACCTCCAACCAAGTGGACACCCCTGCCTCCTCTTGGATTTGCATGTTATATAGCTTCCTTCTTGGCTCACATTTAGGGCCAAATTACCTTTTTCTAGATTTTTTTCCTAGGTTCCAAAAATAATTCCAAGGTTTCACATCGGTGCGATCGTACTCCGACCTCCGAATATCCAAAATCTTACCTCCGAAAACCGTCGATTTACCGTCGCGCGACCTAGGCGAACTTTCGGTCCGACCGACCGCGAGGTTAAACGTAACTAAATTACGGTCGGACCGAGGTCCGCAAGTCGCGCCGTAGCGGTCCCGTGCGACGCGTTTGCATGCAAATCATGACGTTCTTCTAACACAATTGTTGAAGTGAACACATGGAGATCATAGCTAGGGCCGCATATGTGCATGCATGCATATAGCGATCATCACGTACAACTGTGCCGGGCCACGGACGCATGGCACATGTACATATGTGTATAGCTACTGGCTGTCTGGCACGTAGAGCAAACTTTCTAATTCGATCCATGTGCTTGGCACAGCAAAAAATGAGCAGGCTCTAGGATACAAAATACCATGGCGGCGCAGGAAAAATACAAGACTTGGACACAGACCTTCGACAATGTTCGACGGCCTCTCATCAAAGATCCCCTGCTTCGACAATGTCACCTAGATCAATGGAGACCATACCTAGTGTACAGAGAAGCAAACTACATTCCCGTATCCTCTAATTAACTCTCTGACTCTTGATATAGAACTACCTTATAGACTTGAACTCAAACCACCGCTCTTCCCATTGAAAAAGTCTGCTAAAAGAGGCATGCTGCGCCAAGTACCTAAGGTTAACATCTTCCAACTCGGGGCAATCAATTGCGTCGCACATACCTGGCGTCGGACAATCCGATTCCGCTGTAGGGGCCTCGCACCATTTCATGTTATGGCTGGTAAATAATCGTCCAGTCTTCGGCACAAGAAGCCGCTCGAACTTCCCAAGGGCGTCCCAGACTTTTTCTCGGGTGTCAACATGTATCAACACAGCGCTTGCAAACACAAGGTCGAAGGACTTGGGAGTCAAGCCAGAGGTGTCGAAAGTGTTCGAACTGATGACTTGCGGCCGCTTCTGTAGAAGCCCGTTCACAGGGAGTTCGTACAAAAGGCCCGCTGCGAGAGACAGCGCATCCGCTTCTATGCAGGCGTAGTGCCCTGGCTCTAGGTATGCAATGAAGTGGATGCCAACCCGCATACTGCCGCAGCCGACGTCCAATACCCTATGGCTCGGCTGGAGGTTTGTCTTATTGACAAGGAACTCGAAGATGTCTCGTCCCAATGCCCAGGGTGCTCCGTAATAGTTGTGGTGCGCTTCTGCTAGGAGCTCGGGGGGAACAGCAATTTGCCCAGCTTCCAAGGAGGCTTGATTCTCATGGGCCAACGTCTCACAGTACTCTACCCACTGCGCCGTGCTCTTCTTCGGAAAGATGCCTCGCCGTCGGGTGTTCCACTCTTTCCCCGATTGGACCGCGTCTAAAAGCTTCAGCCGCTTGACTGTTTCCACGTCTCGCTGCACGTCTTCAGCGCTTGGGATTGGAGGAATGAGCGCAATGGCCGTGCGATTCTGACTATCTGCAGCAGATTCTTCCTCCAGGTCTTTCACAAGCTGACCGCTTCTTTGCTTCTCCACCTCAACCTCCGCTTGCAGAGTAGCCACCGCCTCAGACCTATTCTTTTGCCCCTCTATCAGCTCCAGCTTCAAACCCTCAATCAGCTGCTTCAGGGTGTCCAAAAGCTCCGTACTGTTCCGGCGTTCTGTCGCTATTTCTTCCTGCAGTTTCGCTACTGTCTCCTCACCCTTCCTTCGCTCGGCATCACGATCCCCCAACGTCTCTGCAAGCCTCTGCTTCAGAAGTGTGACCTCACCATAAGCTGGTTGACACTCTTGACTGCAGTTCTTGGGTAAGCAAGAAGTTGTCCTGAGGAGGCTGGGCAAGCCTGAGCTGTCCGTGTTACTCTGAGAGAAACTCACGGCCGCAGTCAGCAGGACTATACTCGCCAAGATCCCCGTGAAGATTGTCCAAGTTTTTGCCATCTTAAACCTCCTTCCCTTTCAGCAACAGCCGCAGAGTGTCAATCTCCTCATCTGCAGCATAGGCAAGCAATACGTCAGGACTGTGCTTACGTAGTTTCAACGCAAGCCTTGTCTGTGCTCAATCTAGTTGTCTTTTTGAGTGCTTGCCCTCATTACACTTCCTCAGGGCCAGATGCACACTGAAAGACAACGGCGGACAGCGCTTTCAATTCTCTTCTCTTGACGGAACTGTGAGCTTCCACTACAGGGATCGCAAGGACTCATGTTCCAGGAAAATAGAGCACATCATGCTTTTCTCAACACCAACGTCCAGTTCTGAGTTTAAGAAGTATCCAGCAGACTGATGAAACCCCCCGAACATTTGATCTGCGACTTCCAGGAGCAAGTGGTGGAAAAAATGAGTTGTACTTTCTTTACTGTGATATGAACGTGACATTGAAGCCCTTGAGCATGCAGCAACAGATTCAGGAACGTTTGTAAGTACAGCGTCTTCCTTTCTAAGAAGATCAAGAAAAGTTTTCCGAATTAGTGCAGCATGACCAGGACCCAAGTGCAATTGCATCGTCAATCAAAACTCCACCCCACTTCGGGCATCTGACTACACCACCTCAAGTTGCAAAATCTGGAATATTTTAAACACGGATAACCAAGAGCTGCTCGCACACAACTCACCTTCCGCAATGCAGAAACGATTGCTCCCTGATATATTTAGCGACCTGCGCTGGTTGACTGACTCTGCATGCTGCCCGTGGTGTAGCGCAACACAATGGAACTCTCAAAAGGATGTTGTGCCAGTTCCCTTTGCAAAGAGAACTGCGTAATATGCAATGTATGGTGGGAGAATTGTGCCTCCTTGAGCGTGCCACCATACTGCCTAATGCCACAAAATCATGAAAATGCAAATTACTTCTCAAAAGGCGACTTGCCAGGAAAAGAGATACAAGCCGCAAACCTTCTTTTCAGAGGAACCTAACCCGAAGTTATGTACCGTCCGTGGTCAAGCCCCATTCTATCTCCACCGGGCGGCCCCAACGGCTGACATAGCCTTTTCTCTTCATATCGCACGGTCCGAGGAGACACCGGGTGATTGGTTTGCCGAGCTCAGCTAGTTACGTTAACCCCACGTTAGGTTTCGATCTTCAAACGTTGCAGTTGAAGAATCTGAAAAGAAGTTGCTTCTCATCATTCCTGCAGCCTCAGGTTCAAAAAAGGAGGGAGCTGTGGCGCTTAGCAACTTTGACAGTATCAGGAGAAGGGTGTTCACTGTTGTTTCAGAAGCACACTATTTCCAAACCTTAGGAAAGGAGGGATAAGTTGGCAGAGCTATAGCTGTGTCAGCTTTCTAACAAGGTGTAGGAAGCGTTCTGGAGAAAAGTTGCCGAAACCAGGTTTCCTGAGCCCTGGTCTACAAATTCTGCTTATTTACAAGGAAGAAGAGAGACCTGGTTTCTGTAATCTTATGATGTCCACTCCTGGGCAGCGTATGATGTAGCACATCAGTCAAAGCAGTCGAGTGGATTACAGACCCCCGTCTTGGCAAATCTTCAAACGTCCGCCAAAGAATGGCGGCAAACTCTATACAAGAAGGCTTAGACGATGGCAAAAGCTTTTGGTGTGAAGCACCTCCTGGTTGGAAGAAGAGGGTGAGTTTCTAGCACCTTCATCATCTCTTAAACATTTTGACGGACACAGGGAATGTGAACTTGTGCTGTGTTTGGTGGTATGCTAGAAATGTCTCCTTCTTAAATTTTGATCAGAATTGCAGCATGTACTTCTACCTATTGCTTTCTGCTTATCATCGCAGTCCGTTCAGCCGGACTAAATTTTTGAAAGATTGCCAACACACTGATTGCCTGAAGGTGCAATCTTAGTAGTTTTCTTGTGGCGCTCTTTGTGATGCATGATTTGAGCAGAATGGTCTAGCACATCTCCTATTTTAAACTGTATTTGTTTGCTTAGATGAATTATCTATAGATTGCCAACCATATTGATTGCCTGAAGGTGTACTTTGAAGGTTGTGACGTGAGCGTAAAATCTTGGCACATTCCCTTTTCCAAATACAACGTTGCATATCAACGCTGTATCTTCTCTACCTAGAAGCTCATCACTTTCCCTCCTGCAATGTAGGTGACATACAGGTCATCTACAACAGTCAACAGCCGGTCCAAGGCTGACGTGAGTTGCTTCCTATGGCTTGTTAGAGGTTGTGAGATTGATTATGCAAAATGTTTAAAAAGCAGTCTTGCAAGAAACAGTTGCTTAAAGCTTCGTCGATTCATGTTTGTTTGCTGATTGGTTCAGCTTTTAACACGTTATGGTACGTTGGCACTTAGAGTTTCTTGTGTTTTCCTTTCAAACTTGAATGTGTGTGTGCCAATTGAGCATCAGGGGCAATTAAATTCAAAAGCCACTCACCTGCTGTGCTTGTGGTTGTCAGGTATACTTCTATGCACCATCAGATTCTGTCCACACAACAAGGTTCCGCTCAGAAAAGAAGCTGCGTGAGTACCTGACCAAGAACACAGGCATTATTCCAAACCTTCCTCCTCCTGAAGCATTTGACTGGAGCTATCCGGGTAAGTGCATTACCTTTAAACCCTTTATGTTTCCTTCCTTGTGCCAGTATCATTTCAGCTCCAATAATGTCAAACCGGTGCTCTTTTGGTGGATCTTAAAAAGCACTTGATGAAGAAATGATGAAGGTGCTTAGTGATGTGTTACCTGAGTTGTTATCTGAGCTGCGAGCTCAGATAGTTGGATGGGTTCCATTTTACCTCAAACTAGTGGGAGTGGGGGTTGCGAATCTTGGTATGAGGACTGCAGTTCAGGGGTAGACTGTCACTCTCATTGATACTAGGATGGGAGACTGCATCCCCTCAGGGATCGTGTGATCTCCCAAGTCTCTAGGGACAAGGTCAATACCTTTGAGATCATGTCTGAAGCCGTTGTAGGCCATCTGAGAATAGAATTTGACAACACATTTGGAAGGAACAACCCTATCTCAGCCCAGATTGTTAGCAAACTCAGGTTTGTAATGTCTGGCAGTTTCGTCTCATTCACTAAAGATGAGTCCTGTAGTCACTGTTGTCCAAGGTTGAAAAGTCACTCTGCTTACAAATTTGAGATTATTCGTTTCTTTCATTCTCAGCCAGAATCCAACGAGATTCTTTCTGCATGCAGCAAGGACTCTCCTCTTTTTCTACCACGTTACAACTTTGCCCTTTGTGATTGTCAGATTCATCTTCTTTAGTTCCTTGTGACTAGACCTTTTGTCTTTTTCTAGGGGGGGGGGGAATGCCACTGAAAGCAGCCTAGGCCTTCCTATGAGCAGATGCTTGAGATGCTGCAATACCTCAGAAAAATACCAAGAAGCTTGATCAGGCTGTTCTTATTAGCTGATACCTTGGACTCAGTTTCAGAAACTGGCATACTCCATTTTGGCTCTTTCAATCTGAAAATTCGTGGTCCTCTTGTTCCTGCACTTTAGATGGTTGAGATTCTACATCTGTTTGTTTAAAAGGTGGTCGCTCGAAAAAATTCTTCGGAGAAGTGGTAGCGGCATGGGTTTCGGCCTTTGCAGTCCCGTCCACTCTTCAGTGTGAACCTAGTCAAGGCTTATAGCCTCCTTGTATAATCCAGGGCAGCAGCATAAGAGCTTGATTGTCAACCTAGTGAGTACGTCCAGGGTGCTGCTCATTTTCTTTTTGATAACTTCGTAGATAATCAAGTGACATCTGAAAGTATGTTCTCCTTCTGGATAGGAAAGGTCAAAAGAGTGGTTCAGTACATGAACCACAGGTTGGCCCAAAATCTGCTGTTCGACAAGGCAGGTCTGCAGTGTTTTGGCTTCCTGGTTCTTGGCAGTAGGCTCAAAAGCAGGAGTTTCCACCACCCGCCTGCGATCGTATTGCCCAAGGTCAATGTTCAAGTGTCAGAAGCCCAGCTCAAAGCTTGCGCTTTTTCGATTCACATGTAGGGTTATTAATCTGATTGTCAATCTGTTTTTTCTGCATGCCTGCAGGGGGAACAAGGGAGGGCAAGTGCAAGAATGGTCCCCCCCTCACCACCAAAGCAGCGCCGGACACACCGCGACATACCCCTGTGAAAACTACGGGAAAGAGAGACCCAAGGAAGCGGCCCCGAGAATCCCCCCACAAAGACAGTACAGCCACTGACAATGCAGAGAAGATGCACACTGAGCTTGCAAATGGAGCCAGTCGTGGCAGTAATGCGCCGCATTTGAGGAACGATGATTCTGAGGAACCAGCCTCGAAACCTGAGGGCAGTGACGAAGAGAGTGGGGCAAAAGCACCCGAGCCTGGGGGCAATGAGGCTGGGCCTGCCCCTAAGAAAAAGAAAGGGAGGCCGAGTGCGGCAGAGAAGCTGGCAACTGAGGGGTCGGGGCCCCCGCCTGAAACGCAGAGAGCTCAAAAGCCCGAAAGAGACCCTCAGGACGAAGCGAGCGCCGGAAAGTCCGAAACTAGAGACGGGGAGGAAGTGAAGGAGGGCCTGGTTGAGAACGTGTTGTCAGCCCAGCCTGCGGCGCCCAAGCGGAAGGGGCGGCCACCTCGGACAAAAGGCGAAGGGAAGGGCGGGGCGGCGGAAGGGAGAGGAAAAGGTGCGGCGATCGGGAAGGCTGAGGATGCCCTGAGGGGGAAAAGTGAGGCACAGGTTTCTGTTGGAGAAGGTTTGAATGGCGGCAAGGTTGAGGCTGCCAGGGGAGTGTCTGTGGAGGAACCTGCCCAACAGAGCGCTGTGGCAGAGAGAACTGAGTCGAAGCCGGCAGAAGCAAGGCCTGATGCAAGATACAATCCTAGTTGCAATGAGATGCCTGGAGAAACGGGTGTTGGACAGCAAGAGGCCGCGCAGGAGGGGCGGGAAGATGATGTGCTGGCGGAGGGGCAGAGCAATGGGGTCCCTGAGAATGCTGAGAGGGGAGAGGAGTTCGCAGAGGTACCGAAAAGGCATGAAAACGAGAGGGCCGCGCCACAAGAAGGGCCTCACAGAGCAGCACCAGAGGCGGGGGCAGCGGCGGGTATAGGTCCGCTGACGTCTGGAGAGCCAACCGACGGGGAAACTTTGCCCGGTTGTAAAGGAGAGCGTGATGTAAGCGATGCGCCCACAGATGGAAACGATGTTGTACGGGAGGGTCGAGCAGAATTGGCAGGTGCAGGTTCGAACCCCTCTTTGCGAGCGCATGCCCCGGAGAAGGTGGGAGTGAAGCTAGAGGATATGGAGGCGCCGCAGCCTCAGGGGGGGGTCCTGGGGGCAGGGAAGTCAGCCCCCAGCGAGAAGGAGGGGGCTGACGGCACAGGCACTCCGCTTTCGATCCTTGACGCAGAGAAGGACAGGGCCCTTCGAAGCGCGGGCGGATCGGGGGCTGACTTGTTGGCACAGGAAGAGGCGCTGCGGGAAGGCCGGGTGGAGACGAATAGAGAAGCACAGGCTGCGGAACCGTCGCAGTCGCAATCGCAGGACCTTCAGTGCTCGGAAACGGTGCCCAGTCCCGAGCTGGCCGGAAGCGGAAACGGAAACCGGAACGGAAGCGAGCAGCAAGTTGACGGGGCACCAGGGCCGAGCCAGCCGGAGCCGGAACCCGTCGAAACCAAGGCCATGAGAAAGAAAGCGCGGCTGGCCAAAGTGCTCGGACCCCACGAACTAGTCGCCCGCCCACGCAGGGAGAAACCTCCGCCTCCGCCGCCCCTTTCCTTTGCTCCGCCTCGGGGGATCGCGGATGCCGTCAAGCTCCGGACGGCCGGGGCGCAGGAAAAGAAGAATGCGCGGCAGCAGGTGGGGGAACGGGTGTATCCCTCGCGCTTACCTCACGGGTTCTCTGTGTCGGCGGTTATTGCGGCTGCTGCCGCGGCACCGCCGTCGCCCCTTCCCAAGATCAGGGGCCGGCCCCCGAAGCAGAAGAACGGGCCCGGGTCCTCGCGGCTCGGCACGGGAAAGCAGTCGGAAGAAGAAGCAGAGGAGCGGAAAGTGCTGGAGCAGAGGGAGGAGCACGAGGCAGCGGTCAGGATATTCAAGGAGGAAGAGGAAGAACGGGAGCGGGTGCTCAAGGTGGGTACTGTCTCTCCTTTCGGTCTGCTCCGTTCTGTATTTGCTTCTTTGGCTGCCCAGCTCACCGCGTTCTTTGTCAGCGGTTGGCTTTTCGAAGTTCACCGTTCGTCCGGGGGGGCGTGAGATTGATAACAGAGAAGAAACCTCTGTCGTTTCTTACTGATCAAGCGGATGGCGAACGGCGATCCTCGAGGGAAGGAATTCGATCATCAGGACGCAAAAGGAGCATGCTTTGTCACCACCACTAAAGAATTATGAACGGCTTCTGTTGAATCAAGGAGCCTTTTTGCGAAACTTTCTCTCTGTTTATTGCCTTTCTGCTGACCTCAAAGAAGCGTCAGCGTCTTTAGTCTTCGTCAGAACAGACCTCAATCCAATTAGAAGTAAGGGCAACGTGTTCAAGGGGTTTCACGTGTTTACCAACTCTTTCGCTTCTTTTGCAGGAGAGGGGTTTCTTCCACCCGCGCGACGAGTCACTAGCTGACCGCCCGCGGCCGCCTCCAGTGCACGGGAAGCGGCGCACCAAGTCCGCTCTCCTGGCGGAATACCGGGAGCGGCTCAAACAAGAGCGGAACACAAACGGAAGCAGTGACGAGGAAGATGAGAACGACGACGACTCGCTGCTAGGGGACGACGACGATTTGAGGCACTCGAAAGGGGAGGCGCGTGAGGCGCTGTTGCACCGGAAGCGAGTGGACATGCGCGCAAGAAGAAAAGCGGAGCGAGACAATCAGGGGGAGGACGGAGAAGAAGAGGTTTGGGCAAGAAGGGAGAACGGGGACAGGGAGAAAAAAGGAGACGGGCGGAAGAAACGGAAGGCGGGGTGGACTATGGTGCGGACGCAAAAGAGGACCGCGGTCGTGAACGGGGGGAGGTTCCGGGAGGACCGAGGGGAAGGTGGGTTTCGAATCTGCGGCTGAAGTTAGAGGATCTGCAAAAGACGATCTTCCCTTGTCTATCGAAGGGCACAGAGAGCAATGAGCCAAAACTTTGAAAGCGGCTTTACAATTCAAGGAAACACATTACGTGAGAATTTTGGTCCTGCTTTGTGCTGGTTCGTACCGACAGGCTCTTTGCGTTCGTCGAGCCGCTAGTCACACTTCTTGGCGTTGAACCGGACTTGACATTCGTGGAAGATACGACTTTGGTAAACTTGTGATAGTAAAACAAAAGTTAGAATCAAGTTTTGCTGAGCTGTGAGGCCTCAAGCAATTCATATCTGCGGTGAGCAAAAGTGTTGTCCATTCCTATCCGGGTCTGCATGTGCACGATCCGGGGAAAACAGCTCGCAATCAACCGTCGTAGGCTCGAGAAAGGAGATTCCATTTTGTTCATCCTTCAAAATCGTCAAGCGTTGTCCCTTTCTGGCAGCGCTAAAGCTACCCCCTTCATTTCCACGATTGCACGGACCTAACGGGACCTGACACCAAGCACTCCAAAAGCAATATTGATCTCACTCACCGCAGACAAGCTTGCAGATTCTCAGAAGCTTGCATACTGGTATAGCAAGCCCTCATTTGAACCGTAATCCTTCTCCTCCGGCAGGCGCCGGTCCTTCACGGCGGGCCCCCAGCCACACCCCCCGCGGGCACCGCACCCACTTCCGCTTGAGACAGAAGACCACTTTCTTACAAGTTGTCATGCTGGAAATAACAAACCCGATTAATCGCAAACTTTCTCCTTCGCCAGGCGCGGGTCCGTCGCGACGAGCCCCAGCCACACCCCGCGCGCAATGCACCCACTTCCCGCGTTAATCGGAAGAGCTGTGTCTTGCAAGTTGTCATGCTGAAAGTAGCAAACCCTTCTCTAACCGCAATCCTTCTCCTTTGCCAGGCGCCGGTCCTTCGCGACGGGCCCCCGGCCGCCACATCCCCCGCGGCCACCGCACCCATTTCCCGCGCGACCCGGAACCGGACCCGACGTACGACTCCGACGCCAACAGCAGCGAGCTCAAAATGGGCCAGAAGCTCGACGAGCACGGCTTCTTCGAGCGGGACGAGTTTGAGGTGGCGAGCCAGGAAGGGGGGGGTGACCGCGGGGGCAGGAGACCCCCCCGGGAGCGGCTCCCCCTGGAAGCGCCCCCCCAGCGGCGCCGGAGCTTCGGGCACCGGAAAGGGCCGTCGGGGGGCCAGGCACGGGAGGGGCTGCGAATAGCGACGGAGCAGGGGGGCGGGCCTCCGGCGGATGCGCCCGGGTTTTCCGGCCGGACTGGGGAGGGTGTTTCCCCAGGGGTGAAGCGAGAGAGGATTGCGGAGCAGAATGGGGGGCTGGAAAGGCCCGGAAGCGCGACGGGGGGGGAGAGGGAGGTGGAGGCGAAGCGGCCGCGATGGGAGGGGCCGTGGGAAGTGAAGGCGGTGTCGAATACGCGGCATGACGAGTGAGTCACCTCGTCTCGGGCTGGAAATTGTTTTTTCTCCTTATAATGCAAACGCTCATCGTGTGAGCCGGCCGGAAATTTGAGCTAAGGTGATTTGAAGTGGTGGCGGCGGCCTAGCTGGCAGGAGTGTTTGTTGCGGGACTTGTTGCATATCCTTACAGGACGGAATGTTAAGTTTTCAATTGACAGGTTGCTTTCCCGACCCCTCTATATCCATGGACACTGAGAAGTGCTCTCTTGCTCTGCAGCAGTGTGAGCCTAGGTGTAAACGCGAACGTCAGTTCTGGTGAGTCTTCAAAGACATTCCGGTTTTTCCGCGAAAAGTAGAGTGCTGCCATGATGAAGTAACGTATCTTCTTGTGCACGGTGCCGAGTTTAGCCACCGTTTGCAGTTGTTTGAACCGGGAAGCGGTAGCCCGCAATGCAATATCTGAACTTGTTTGCTGGCTGCTAGCACTTGTTGCTTACAAGCTTTCTTCCGCGTGCTTGTTCAGGAAGAGGAAGCGCTGAGCCATTGAGCTCGAGGGACCATTTTGCAGCTGCACCAACTGTGACCTCCTTCTGAGGATGCTGCTTTTCTTTGCGGCTGATTGGGTGCGGTTAGGATTCTTTGCAAGGTGCCATACGCAGAAGAAGTCGTGAGTTGTTAGGTTCTGTCAAGTTAGATTCAGTAAAGAGGGAAGGACCGGACCCAACATTGCCGGTCTGTCGGATCAGGTCCTGAGTTCTTAAGGTGCTTTTGTACGTTATCACAAGACGTATCTATCCGGTGTATTTCCGTCAACAGTTCTCACTTTGTAGAAGTTTTTGGAAAGTCTGCAGTCACGGTCCGAGTGCCATGTAGAGTGAGTGCTGTGCATTAGAAGGAGTCCGGAGAACTTACTACCATCATTGTTAATGTACGGCATACAAGCGACTGACAATCAAAGATTTGCATGTTGTGTGGCGACGATCTTCATCATATCCACTTAAGGCATGTCTGTTGAAGGGGTGCGCCGGTACCGTACCGCATCACCGTACGTGTGCCGCCAGTCAGACGTCACGTTTCGTCATTGCCCAGTTGATAGCCTACTTAACGCATGCATATGGACGGCCCCATGCATGTTGTTTATATCCTGCAGCCCGGATCTTGCCAGGACAGGCTCGATCTTCCGACTAATTGCACAGGTGTCGATGCGTGATCGGACGGCCGGACATGACTTTGTCGCTTTTTTGGTTTTGGCCATGGCTTCCGCCAGGTTGCGACAATGGCGGACTGCGCAATAGCCTTCTCCTTCCTGCACTGTTGACTCACACAAGCCTGCAAGGCCTAGCTCGTCTGGATAATCTCCAGTATCCCCTCTCCAGAGGAAAAGGGGTTAAATATGAAGCCATGCATGGCGTCTTGCAGAACTTAGTCTTTGGAACAGCCACAAAATTATAAGCGGCACGTAGCTTGGGTAATTAAGGGACAAGCCTGTGGGTTTGGCAGAATCCGGGGCCAGAGTATACTTGGCACGAGACCTTGGTTCCCACACCGGTGACCGTTCTCTTGCAACTTCTCCGAAAGTAGCATTCGACCTAGACAACGTACGGCATTATGCAATTTATACGGCGCGGGGCATGCAAGTTGACTCTCGTATGATTGTAGCCGGCATGACATCTCTTCGTCAGATCTGAAGTCATCTCAGTCGACCACACCCTCTGCCAGGGCTACCATGCAATGTCTGTTCTTGAGTTCGACTCGATACTTTTCGGGCCATGCATGCGTATGAGCCTAAGGCGAGCCACGCTGAATGCATGAGCTCCTGCAGCCAGCCGAGTCCGTGGTGGCCGCGTCGAACGGTCGGACCATTCAAACTATATCGTCAAGAGCGATACTCTGCTTGCGGCGCGAGCTATTAAAAGCGACCGTACACTTGAGCGAACAGAAATGTTCGTCGCCGAGGCCAGCTAAGCACGTAAACTTACACCGCGTTGTCGCCTCCAACCGTTGTAAAGTCGCCCAGGAAACCTTGTGGCTACCGTAGTTTTCAACAGGAAGGTTCGACACCACGGCCGAAGATTCGACACTGGCGGCTTCAACGGCGTTTGAGTTCTCCCTGGCCCTCTTTGCTGTCAGCTTCTGTGGCCGGTCGATGGCGTCTCGGGTGCTTCAGCAGGCGCCGACTCCGCCCACGATGCCCGGTACGGCGTTAATACGAAGCTTCCCCTCACTCCAACCACATCTTTTGGAATGGCTAGCCAAGGCTCCTGGTGCAGAATGAAAGGGGATGTTGAAGGATGTTCGAGTTGACTTTGGTGTGCTTCAAAGGACTCAAAGCCTAATCCAAAAGAGCAGGCAAAGTTGGAACCGTTACATCCCGATTGAGTTCCGGCAGCCTCAATCCACCCCCTTTGTTGCGATTTCGTGCAAGATCACAGATACCCCGCCAGCCAAGCTCGCTGCCTGCTTTTTTGGACCTGCACACAATCCTCCTCCATCCCTCTGATCATGTAAGGAAATAGAGAGAAGACTGTAGGAATAAAAAAGCACGAAAAATAAGGGAGACGTTTCAAATGCAGCTGGGGCTTCTGCCCCGGCGTCACCTCCGCCCCGAGCGCCCTGCCCCCGGTCGCCGCCAACTGTCCCGGTTTGCAGCCCTCGCAGGACGCGTGCTGCGGCGCCGTCAGTACTCTTTTGGAGAACAGGGGAATCTCATCACCCCAGGCAGACCAGGTGCGGCCTTCCGGACGTCTATAAATGATTGCTCATTTCACGATCATTAAAGGCCGGGTCTAAGGTCAAGGCGTCCAGCTTTTGAGATTAAAATGACCTTTTAAAGAAGATAGCCGTAAAAGGCTGAAGGGTAGGGGACCGAAACGGCCTCAGCAACGATCGAAAACCGGGAAAGAGTTCATAGTGGACCGAAGTTGTTCAAACTAGAGTGGGAACCTGCTGGTCGGCTCTCTTGCAATATGGCTTCCCGCAAGTTCGTCTCCCAATGAAGGCTTGACCGAGTGCACAATGAAAAGCGGAGATGGGGACCAAAAAGTTCTGTCTGAGCTCAAGGGAGTCCATCGTAGTCTTTGAAGGTCTTTTCGGTCAGTTCGGAAGCCTCATTATCATTCAGGTAGTCGGTGAAAGTATTTTCTTCCACGACTTTAAGCACCTGAATGACCGGCAGGCAGCGGCAAATAGCTGAGAGCCAGACAAGAACCTAGCTAAGCAACCTTGTTTAGTGCCGTAAGCTTCCTGGCGCCGACGCATTTCAACCCCTGGCATGTTGGGCCCAGAAATGTCGGCCATCGAGATGTTGACTTCGTACCGCGTTCGAGCTTCCATTTAGCGGGGAGATAAGGTTCTCAAGCTGACGTCACCCTGACGTCACCGAGTGCTGTGTCCCTTCCACAGATCCTGAGGATCGCCACCATCGATTCCAACACGGAGCAGGCGTGCCTCGCCGTAATGCAGCAGGCGCTCGCGCCGCGGGGCGTTACCGCCAACCTTTCCAGCGGATGCGCGGTGGGACTCACGGCTCCGCTAAACCCTTAAAACCCCGAAAACTGAACCGCACTTGTTCCGTAATAAGCCGTGATAAGCCGTAATGAAGAGATGGATTTTAGATTGCACAATCTCCATTGTTTCAGAATCGTCAAGAACAATTCATGCGGCAGCGAGTACTCGCGCTTTGACTACCTTCTCTCCGTCTTTCCTGATAGATCTGCGCACGAATAACTTTGCTTTTCGTCAAAGCAATCTGTCTATCCTTCGAAGCTTACTGTTTCTCTTCGGAGACGTTGAAGAATATTCACCCCTTTTGCTACTCAGGCAGATGTGTTTCGTTCCTGCCGGTCTCAAAGACGTCCTTGCGTTCAATCTCTGGTATAACCGTTGTTTAGGAGAGACTGCAATGTAATGTCATCACTATATCAACGCGTTCTGAGGCAAAGGAAAGGAGGCTGTAAAGTTTACCCAACACAGTCTCCTCTACGACTTTCTCGCAGGACGCCATTGATCTTTGCGGTCACGCCCCAAAACACGTGCCCCAGCGAGAAACAGTCGCCGGCCGACGCCCAAAACGTTCTGAGCGCATGCGCAGGTGTACCCACGTGAGCCGTACTTCTCTAGATCCTTTGATTATCCAGCCAAAAGTACCAACTCGGGTTTTGTGGAGGCTGCCAGAACCCTGGACAGACTGGAAAACGGCGAAGTTTTCTGTGTGTTTCGGATGGGGATCTGTACTTTGACATCTTGCCGGATTGTTTCAAGTTGAGGTTGTGAGATTTGGCTTTCCTTCGGTCCTTAAGAGCGGTCTTGCTTGCCAGGGTTGCTTACAGAGCATCTTGATTGGTTGTGCATTTCACATGCTGGAGTTTCTGCAGGCTGCTTCAATAGTTCTCAAGTAAATGCCCAACATTTGGTCACTTTCTTTAGATGCCACTCAAGCACTCTCCCACACGCTTTTCGGGTTCTATCGACACTCTGTCAGATTTCTTCCAAGTGGTCGGCGACGAAAAATATCATGAAAGATAGAAGAGTAAATAGAAACCGCTTCTTATCTTCAGGCGGAAAGTGCATTTTTTTTCGCGTGTTGTTCACATGAAAAGACTCGAAAAGAAGCGAAGTTGCCCCAAGTCTCAAACCCAGGCCCGATACCTTATGCGGTTCCTTTTTCCCAGCAAGAAAGGCTGCAATTCTTAGCTCTCCCGTTTTCGTCAAAATATCCGAAAGAGTAGAAGATCATCAACAGACAATCGACTGGCTGAAGCAGACGTTGCCTGCAGCTTCCGACGCGACGGCAACGCCGTTTGCGGTGGCTCCTTCACCGCCCTGACCGGCGCGATCGCCGGGATCTTTGGCCAATCTCCGGGCGCCACGTTGGCGGCCCTCGCGGCCCAGAATTCACCGGCAGACTGCAGCACGGTCGTCATCGTGACGTTGCTCCAGCAGAACCCCGGTTTTTACGTCATCGGCGCTTTTCTGGACCGGGCGTTCAAAGGGGCGGGGTGCGCTGCGGGGCTTGGGCTGGTGAGTAACTAGACGTGATACAATGGAAGCAAAGTATTCTTTTTTCACCAGTTTCATATACAGCTACGAGCGGCTTCGTGATGACTTCGATGCAATCCTCCTTGCTCTTGTGAACGGGTTTAGGAAACTGTGTCCCGTTATGTCTCATCACTTGTCCGGTCACAGATCTTCCGGCGCTGGTCGGATAGATCCTGGTGGAAGATTTTGATAAAGGACGATTTCACGTGGATATCCAAAATTCTTCCCGCAGGAAGTCCTCTCTGGCGCGATGAGTGGCTTCGAGAGCATTTTGCTGCAGTTGTCCCGATCAGAATCGATAATTGTCCCCGCCAGAGCTTGTGTTTTCTGTCTTCCGGAAGTCTCACGAACGTTGTTGAGCGGGGCCCTGCAGGTGTTGCGCGGTGCATTTGACAGTCGTCAACATCTGATTGAGTCTTCGACGGAAGGAAGTACTTCGCTTCGCTGGCTTAAACGTTCCGACAAACTTCGATGCGGCCAGGTACTTCTCGAAGGCGTGCTCGTGTTAGCTTAAAAATTTCCTTCCTTCAAAAACTTCCTACCGTCCCGGCCACTTTATAGCTTCTTATGTCTCATCGCTTATGAGTCACTCACGGCATAGCTTTATGATTCCTGATGTCTCACGAGCGGCCGCGGTCACCTCCTGCTAACGATGCTACGATGAAAAGGAAGGGGGGGGGTTCGAGGCGAAGACGGCGAAGCTTGCGGAAGCTATGGGGAGACACGAAGTTGGATCCGGGTTAGAGGGGCCGTTTGTTTTGTCGGTTTAGAGTGGAACGGAAGCCTGGCAAACGGGGGATGTAATGCGAAGCTTGTAAAAACTTGTGTCCGTTACAGATCCATCCGGGTCTCAGTTCGTGTACAAAGAAGACAGAGTCGTAGCTCAATTGCAGTAGACTTCGAAAGCAAGCGAGGGACTTGGCTTGACCGAATCTTGCGTCTCTCCAGGAAAAACAAATAAGAGGTGACAAAGTGAATAGAGTCGTCGAAGCCACGTACACTGAAGATATCCAGCCAGAAGTTCGATTTGAACGATCGAAAGCGAGAGAAAGACTCGAAAAGAAGAACATCAGGACACCTAGAATAGGGAGTGTGAACAGAGGAGCTTTTGTGGGGCGCGCTCTGGCGCGAGCTCCCTGGCGAATAAGAGGTGCTTCGTGACGGCTCTCCGAGTCTTTCTCATTCTTTCTTACAGTCTTCTTCATGGGCCAATACATAGATGCATAACTTCGTGACAGCCTTGTGGCTCATTTCACATGCATGGCAGCCTCGTAAAGCTTTTAGCTTGAAGCATGTCTAGCTTTTTTGCATCATTCTAGGGTCCCGAGACATGCTGCATGGCCCCCGGATCATATGCTTTTCGCGCGTGACATCATAGAGCAGCTTCCCAGCTAGGTAGCTGTTCTGTGAGCGTAGCATGTTTTCTAGTTAACGCTCGATCGAGCTAGCTCGTTATCGTAAGAAGTTTCTCAACATGCGAGTATTCCTAAGGAAGATTCTTGTTGACACGCACCTTTGCTGCTTCTACTGAGTCCTTGTTCTCCATCAAAAACTGGTTCGACAACATTTCATTGCAGATTGTTCTTTACTGCCCGCGGGTGTCTAACGATTGCCGGGTTTTTTCGAAGGAAAAATAGACATTGCAGATTGCTCTTTGGATTGCCAACTCAAATACCTTGCGCTTCTGTATATCATCAAGTCGTTGCTTGAGTCGTTTTCTCAAGCTGCGCTTTCATCAGTAACGAAGTTCAATTTCTCCTGTGATTCGATCCGCGAAGTTCTCAGGCGTTGTCCGCAGTGCAATCCCATTGCGCTTCGTTGCAGAGCCGTGCATCTCGCATAGGTTTATGTGCTCTTTTCCGAAGCTTGAACGTTGGCGTCTCGAGCAATATGCGATTGTAATCGTATTCAATCGCTTTCGCAGGTGCCCCCTCCGCAGATCCCCCCTCCGCCGAAACCGCCTCCGCAGAACCCCCGTATACAATCAAAGCGGATCGAAAGCTCTGCATACATATATCGCGGTTTTGGAAGCAGCGTTCTGAGCTGTCAAAACGGGAAAAGTTCATGGTGGAAGTGTAAGATTAGGAATATCACGGCATGAAACATGGTGATTCTTTCAAGGATGTGACAAGGACTGGTGCGCCTTTGAAGCCTTCAGGCAGAATGGATCTTTCCAGCCTGCTATAAATGATACAACATTGCGTGCTACCTAACGTCACTGATCTGGCTGTGTTTTTACTGAAGAAACCGCAGTCTGAAGTGGAGTTAGACGGTCAGGTGCAAACCGCGCGTGGTTTGAAATTCGAAACCTCGATCTGTTGGCAATACATCCAAAATGTAACTTAACGATCATGTCGCAATACAACCGCCGGCACTGACCATGTGGACTGGATCGAGCTAACCGCGTATAATCTGCCTGTGTGGTAGCCCGTACCGTTCTTCCTTTTCTGTTGTGATTCAAAAGATGCGTCAGTACACGTACATGCAAAATATGATACATGTATACTACATGCTGGGTGCAAGGATTTAGACAGCCACTTGCATTATAAGCTTCATAAATGACAACTACCATACGCTTCTAGCTGAATCTAGTGGGCCTTTTATAGTCTTGAAACCTTTGTCAATCAACAACTAGATGCTAGCCGCACTTCGGCGGGATTGTCATATAAGATCGATCGCAAATATAAGATACATCCTTCAAATCTGGTACAAAATATAGAGAGCATTTATGGCGCTCTGTGCAACAAATCCAAGCTTGTTAGTCTTATGCTAAACAGTTGGTCAATCTGTTAATCTGCTGTACAAGGCCCGGTCGTGCGATTGAGGACACTTGATGGGGCCAACACAGTCAAACTGTTATTTGTCATGCGTGGGTATTCAATGCTACAAAGACTTATGGACAATATGTTCAAACTAATAACCCGTTGAAAACAGAGCTTAGTAGAAAGTGCACGCAGGCGCTTTTAGTCAGAACTCTGCCACCAAAGGCGACTGCATCACTTCTGCAGAAGAGAAGGTGAGTATGTCAAGGTTTTTGGCTACTTCTGACTGAACCCTTAGCTTGTAACCATTCGAGATTCCAGTACTATGGCTGCTCAAGGTGCCCGGCGAAGAGAACGAGTCACACAAAGCCTTGCATGCAGACCAATTTCATTTTGCAACTTGATCAGCTTTTGTGATTGCAGCCATGCAGCGTCAGCATAAGGAGCCACACCGTGCCACACATTCACCCAGAGTCTGCGGAAAGACGGTCATGAGAAAACGGTCTGCTGTAATGAGATCGATCTCCCAACAAGAAGGACCATTAAAGGGGCAAAAGGCTCGTGGACTCTTCTACCCCATCTATGAAGCACTAAAAAGATCAACGCAAGTCCAACGCTTGAACATTTCCCACAATCAGCACCCAAACGTACCAGCTAAGTGCTAGGCACTGCTCAATCAGATGTTCCTAGCTTCGAAAGTGTAGTACGTCGCAGCCTTGCTTGAAGAACGGAGCAAGAACGGTTGGAACCACTCACCTCTGCGGCCTTGCCATTGGTATCCACATCGATCAGTGTGTCGCCCTCTGCAATCCTGATGGGAGTCTTGTTCTTGCTGCTCGGATTGGAACCAGGATAGCAACAGTCTAGGTTTGGGTGCAGCCGGAGACGGATTGGATCCAGGGGCACATAGATCAGCCCGAAAAGGAGGGGTACAAAGGACCAGAGGCCTCCAATGAAGGCTATGAGCGCAAGAAACGGCTCTTGCTCTTTGAGGTGCACAACCCCCTGTGGGGAGATATACATCACGAGCCTGAGCTTAAAGGGGACTATGCTTTGGTTGCTGTCGCGAAAGTCTGTCCCGGGGGTAGACTCAGGCAGGATAGAGCCAAGGGTGTAAGAGAGCTTTTCAAAGGCTCGGACTTCCTTTTTCTGATACCAAAAGGGCCCGGTAAAAGGCGATTGCAACTGCTCCGATTCTGTCTGCACGTACGAAAAGCTGACGGATGATGAATTTGGGGCTGCGAAGAGAGTGAAGTCCCGTTGGCCGGCAGGTTCCGACGCCGCCTGAAACAGAGGATTCTGCAGCGGGGCCTGCCCCACTGACACAATGAAGCTGGAAAAGGGGGGCCCTGTGCCGTTCAGCTCCATGACAAACGCAGGGAGTGAGCTGCTAATGTTTTCTTGCGCCTGGGGTGCGCACAGGGAGAGGTAGAAGGTGAGGCAGGCAAAGCGCGGATCAACACCCACGACCACCTTGGTGTTGTCTTCTCCCCCGGTCGTGCTCTCGTCTGAGACCGTGTTCAGCGTTCTGAGGACAGGTGTCAGGGGCTCTGTCTCCTAACTCCTTGCTTTGGTGGGCCCCAGGCTGTATTGCGGGTCCAACATTACGCCCGAGAAGTTCAGACGCTCGTTTCTTACGTTGCTGTATAGGTATGGGTTCCCCGGAGAGTCGTCGCCGTCCACCAGGCTGACGCCGTGCATCCGCTTCTCGGTGTAGCTAAAGACTTCTGGCCAGGGATCCCCCGGATAAGGCCTGTTGATGTCTGTTGCAAACTGCGGGGGGCATTCTGGCAGCCAACTCACTTCATCCCCGCCTGCTGCCAGCTTGAGTATGGACAGGTCGTATGGCACTACTTCTAGTGACGCATTACGCCCAAAGGAGCTCACAATCTCCCCAGTATAATCGGTCTGATCGACAATGCAAACCTGGACGTCCGGAAGGAGCACTTTTTGCCCTCGGTCAACATACGTCGTGATGAAGGGATGCCTCCGGAGCTCAATGGCCTTCACGATCGCGACCGTGCACGCACCCAGGTAACCCAACATGAGGAGCACCCAAAAGCACCAGGCCGCAACAACCTTGCGCCTGCCGGCAGAGACCTCCACATCCCAGGGAAAGGGAGAAGGCATGCTGCCTTTCGAATTCGCAACCGCCAATATTGGCAACGAAGTGCCGCCTGCAGGGCATAAGCGACTCCCCCTTCTACTGAATTGCGCTCAAAAGGTCTTTTGCCACATTCGTCGCCACTGCTGGTTCTAGCTTGGTTCTAACTTCTCTTCTTCCCATTCCCATTTTCCTGCTAGTACTCGTAGCTAGCATGTCTTCTCTGGGTTGCATTGTCAGCTTGGCACGTACACCGGGCGGCTCTCAGCAGTCATGTATCCTGGGGGCTAGTACTCGTGACCAACCTCGGCAATCTGTTCAATACCTATTAACCTCGCCGGTTTTCCAGGGTTTCGTTTAGATGTGCCTCAGATGGCTTGAACTGTTCACCAATTCTTGCCATGGCGCTCATCTCGACCTTGTATCTCACATTGTCTACAAGTACATAATGCATTGCTGAAATGAAAGTCCGGGCCTGGTGCAACACGGACCGGGCTGTGAATCCTGTCGAATTATCAGACGTCGACTCCTCATCCTCATGTACCCGGGGGCCGGCACGTCTTGTACCCAGTCTTGCGAGTCAAGAAGAGGGTGGATTTGAGTCTTGACGCTATGGGCAGACGCACGGGCAGACGGAAAGCGTGCAGTAGGTATTACTAGCTTAGTGTGCTCACTGCTCAGTGCTCACCGCGTACTACGTAGTACATACTGTAATCACTGAACGTGTGATCATGTGATTAGCTGAGCCTGAGACGCCAGGAATCGTCCGTGGATGTCAGACAGTCAGACCAAAAGCGGTCGCCGCCGGCCGGTATCTTGCCCGCCCGAGCTCCGTCGGCCGTCGGCCTGATGCTGACATCACACGGGTAGCCGAGATGTGGCATGCCGACTCCCGAGCGTGCCATGAAACGTGACGATGCCGAGTTCTCGAGCCCACGCCACCGTCCCCGCTGGCGACGGCTACGCAGCCGGCAGTGTCGTTGACTCGTCGCGCAGGTCGAGGATTTGATTGGTTCGAAATTGATTCGGGGACCGTACTTGTGCGATAAGTCAACAACCCAGGCTAGCTGCGCGCGCGGCAGGCTGGAGGCGGGCGCGGGCCCGCCCATGCACCGGGCCCGCCGCCGGCCGCCATGCGCAGCGGCCGCGAGCGGGCCCCGCCACGCCGTCGCGACGCGCGCACTGGACCGCAATCGAGGGTTTCAGCGCGGCCGCGAGGTCTTAACATGGGGTTTCATTTTAACGTTTCATTTTTCGTCTTTTCGCTTCTTTCATGAGTGCATGAGCGGAAAAACCGACTATGTCTACACTTCACTAAGGTTCATAATCACTAGAGACTTCCGTTTTTTGCTTCGAGTCGGGACAAGAGGATTAGATTCAGGCCACGAGAGCATGATAACTTTAGGCTCGTTAATTGTTGTTCTGAGAGCGTTGAAATGTCTTTACGTGCTTACCATGCATGGTCATGAGCAATTCAAGCATGATCAGTCAGAATCATTCCACCGAGGTATCTTTCTCAAGGATTATTCATTTCGGTTAAGAACGTAAGCACGTAGACCTATTTGCCGTTTGCCTCTAGATGTCTAGGCTCCGTATTTCACGCTTCTGGATTGCAGGTTGCATTGATCCAACAGTTGTTTTCCGGATTGCCATATGGACGGTTAAAGGGCTTCTCAAAGAAACCATGAGTCATCGTTTCTCAACACTCTGGCAGGGTTCCAGTCGGACTGCACGTTATATTGACCTTTTGATCATGCTACTCGATGCGAACCCCTCGCTACCACGTAAAATTCTCTCTCGACCTACTTTCCTACCTACACAAAAATGTACAGAGCACATCTGAACCAGCCTACCATAGCCGCAAGGAGCTCACCGTCGACTCATTTTGACCGAGGCTTGGCTGATGCCGCCGCTTTCTAGTACTGCCTTTATACACTCCAACTCACGACTACTCTTTTCCGATTAGCAAGGGAATTGCTTCTGACCATGACCGTCCTTCGAATCTTTTGTCAACCTAGACTGTGACATTATACTGTCCTGAAGTTCAAGATGGAAGTCTACGTTCGCCGATCCAAGGATTGCAGCCTAAGAGACTTTGCTGCACCGAACACGGTCACTGAGAACGTTGTGGCTACTGACCTACTCTCCGAGAAGACTTTCTACTTGGCTTACTCAATGGACGACTGTAGCCCCTTGATACGGCGTGCATGCCTGCACCCATTTGAGTACTGCCGGCCTATTTCTATACACTTGAATATTTTACGAGTCCTCGATGGGACCAAATACAGCCCTGAAAAGCAGACTCTTGTCGTCCTTCTTCGACACTTGGGCCTCTTCGATGGTATCCTCCATGACAAAGCGAATCACCTTGACTTGATTCTTTTGGCCGATCCTGCAAGCGGCAGTGGGATACCTAGTAAGCACATGTCAAACTATGATGCCAAACCGGTGCAGAACCGCTCAGCCTTGACTTTCACATCAGTTTCGTGGTCGCCCCAACAATGTGGAGAAAAAGCTCAGAAAATATTTGCGGTTTTGACACCAGGATATTCCTTTCGCTGACGCTCCTGGTCGTCAGCGCAATGCCATACGGGTCAGGCAAACAAGCCAGCCAGGGCGCTAAAAATCCCGGACAAAATTCCCTCCACCAGAATGAGAAGCGGAGACGATCGTTCCGAGCGGGTTGCAACCAACATCACCGAGCGCAAGCAATATCAGGCCCGGTGGCTTCTCTGCGCCACAATCGGCTTTTGGACTGTCCTGAGACCTTAGACGTTGGCCAGATTTATTGCAGATCCTCCCCCCGTTCATCCCGCCTTCTTGAGAGCTCTGACCAATCCGTTGGAAAGAGAACGCGGATTGCACTTTGCAGGCCCCAAAACTGTCTCACCGCCTGGAACTCACTCATGCGCGCGCAACTAGTAACGTCAGTGTCTTATTGGCGCTTTGTCGCCACAAGTGCGACTTTTGAGGCCATTGTGCAGGCTGTAGGCCGCTACGCTTGGTCGGCAGGAAATCGGCCTGTAAAGCGGTGGCCTTACCAGACCCCTTTTGCTCGCGCCCAGAGAATCACGCAGTGTGAGGATCTGAGACACTCCTTCCACAACTTCACTTGAAGGACGGGTTTCTGAAGCGCTTAGCCAGTTTTCACCAGAGTGTGCGTCCTTTATAAAATCAGACTTTCTTTTCTGGAGAATCGCAGCCCGACCACTCACCGGTGTATAACTTGGCTGCTTTGTTTTTTCCGGGTTGACCGCGGTCTAGGGGGTCGGGGCCTCTAGGCCCGCAAAAACTACCAGGGTGTGACCCTGCGATCCCACTTCTATTGGAACCGGAAAAGTTGGTTCTGGTCATGGGCTCGGAAATAATCCGACCGTCTCTTCGATATCGTATGGCTGCCCGAGCCTGAAACAAGAAACAGTAACCGAAGACCGCGTTCCAACACAAGAGGACCGAAGACCGCGTTCCAACACAAGACGACTGATTCCCTGCAGAATCGACGGCCAACGGAAACGAATCACACACCGGTGCACCCGATCGATCGCCTGCGCCTCGGCGGCCGGATTCCACCAGTGGTCGAAAAGGATGACCAACCGGGGGCCTGCCCGGGGGCCGCCCAGCAGCGTCAGTCCGGTTCCGCCCGCTTTGAGAGAGACGAGGAAGACCGGAACGCCGGAGTCGCCGTCTGCAAAGGGTAAGCGCCTCAGGATCATGGTAGCAACAGAGATACAGAGCACAGAGAGCGAAAGGACGTTGTTCAAGGAAAGATGTCCGCGAGTCCGAACACGGGTCGCTGCTTATATGAGGTGAGCGTGGGAGTTGAAAACAATTTCAAGGATCCATATGCAGAAAGCAAGGAAACAGCTGGTGTTGAATGAGCGGACTGCAAGTCAGCAAGAAGGGCCAAGTGGTTGGAATCACACTACAAGACTCTGTCTTTGTAAGCTCAACCTGGCCACGATGAGCTCAAAGCGATTTCTGGACGAGACGCGACCTATCCTTCCAGAGCTCAAAAAAGCAACTTTGGAATCGCAAACGCAAGGGCAGTGTTGCGACACGCGATGCCGAAGGCTTACCAGCGGAGTTGGGCGTTTCGTAGCGGGCAATGGCCGCTTGCCGTTCCGTTGTGGACATCGTTCCGTCGAGGCGCGCGAAGCGGACGCTTTCGGACTCAAGCGTTCTCTCCAGGACGTCCAGCATTCCTGTGAACTGCGAGGAGGAAAGGATCTTGAAGAGCGTGAGTAACCTGAAGCTGACCGGTGAAATAAATGCTTTATAAACAAAGCTCTTTATGAGTATTGACCTTGACGATGACGCTTCTCCTAGTTCTCCGTATGGTTGGACGTGGAGACTTTTAGAAATCTTGTCATGTCGACGATTCCTTGCCAAATCCGACCGGCCCGCCCTTACCTCCTGCGTGAAGCGGCCTATCGACTTTGATGGATCGAAGCAATCACATTCCAGAAGGAACACAGACTTTTATTCAAACAATCTGGCATGAGACAAGTCTTGAAGCGCATTTGCAGAAAGAAAAAGCTCAGCATAGAAGCGTCCACTCACGCTGGAAAATATGACGACCTTCGCATCGGGATGGGCTAGAGTCGCCCTTAGATGATGCATCAACCGGTCGATCTTTGACGAGCTTATGTGCCCGGTCGTTTCTGCATCTGCCCCGTCTGTTGATTTCGTAGGTCCCCCTCTGTGCCCGCTGCTCTTTCCACCGCGCGTAACTGCGAAGAAAGGGTCGCACTGTTAGAACAAGGCGCAAAGTCAAAAACAATCCCGTTCCGTGAGTCCTTGCGCAATCTGGAGGCTTTCAGAATGGAGGGAGGGTGCGGGGCGCGAGTGCTTGTCCAAACACAACGCGACTCAGGAAGGACCGAAGGAAAAGAGAAAGACACAACGGAGTAGCAGAAAGGAAAAACAAAGAGATATTTGATGCAACTAAACTTCGCCCTCTTCAAAGGCCGCCTTGGTTTTGTTTGCACAGCCACCGAATGCCCGGAAGCCCTTATTACGAGTCGCTGAAACGCAAGACCATGTAAGTAATGGCGACACCAAAGCAGGATTTCGCAAAAACACGCCGCGAAATCACTCGGTTTAAGACGCGCCCTTAGAGCAAAACACCTGTCACCGAAGGCTCCCAACTTCAAACGTGCTGACGTCTGCCACCGAAGGGACGCTTCCCACTAACCCAAGTCCTTGCCCTTTGCAGCTAAGGCGCGTTAAATCTTGAAACACTTCTTGCCCGAACCCCTTAACCCTCAGACAGGCTGACGTGTGCCACCAATGAGACGCTTTTTCACTCACCCGATTCCTTCCGCTTTGCCAGCTGGGGCGCATTCGCCGCCTGCCGCAGCCGCAGCATGGTCACCAGATGGTTCCCGCAGTCCCCCGCTAACCCGCGCTCCTTAACCGACTCGTAGAACGCGCGCTCGCTCGCGCTCATTGCGAGACGCTCCACGATGACGTCCTTCACGCCCAATGACGTCAGCTGAGCCTCTTTGGTGCGCCGCAGCGTGGTGGCGCGCAGGACCTGTAAAGGGAGCGGTTGCTTTTCAAGAGATCGTCGAAGGGAACCTTCAAAGGGGTTACCGAAGAGCCTCTTCCTGTTCCCATGAAAACCAGGCAGAGGTTTCCTGCTTTTCAACAGACTCTCGAGTGTGCTGTACTCTAGAACTGGCAGTTCAACATCCTGAAAACATTTCAAGACCGTTTCCAGATGCGTTAACGAAAGAGCTTTGTTCGTCTCTGATCCAGGGACGTTTTCCTTATCTTCTTCAAGACTTCGTTCAAAACGTCCCGTTCATGCGCCTACGCTTTGCCATAAAAACTACTCCTGCGTCCTTGACGGGCCCATCATGACACGTGGGCAGCCATGAAGCGCTTTCCGCAAGCGTGCGTAACTCGAGGACAACCGTCGGTCTTAGAGCTATGCTCCTCATAAGAATGCCGCGCGACGTGCGCAGTTCGAACCCCTGACGTCGGCCAAGGCGGGGCTGACGAGAGCATCTCGGGTTACCCTTTTTGGCATCCGAAGCTAGCTAGCTCTACCGGATCTTGAGGACCAATCAATCTGAAGCCCGGGTCTTGACAAGCTTAAAGCAGATCTAACAGCTGTCGGCTTACCGTTTTCCAAGCAGCGGCAAAATCGCGGTCTTCAAAGTCCTCTGCCGTTGTCTTCGCACTGCCCAGCTCTCGAAGGAGAGGGAACCTCTTGGGCTCCGGTTGGTACTTGAGGAATGAAAGTAGGCTCACAAAGTCCTGGATCAAAAACGTTTGGTCACTCTAGTGAAATTGGATGCCAAGACATTCCTACCCTTTCTTTCAGGTACGGTGCCTGAACTACAGTGACTGATTGCTATGTGAACTTCGCCAATAGAACGAAAGAATCTCCAGGGGACAAACAGACACACTCAAACATCAACTACTTCACCTCTATGGCCAATTTGCCGTGTAGAGTGATGTCATCCATTGTGCAGGCTCGTCAGCAAGGTATCCGAAAACCTATAATCCTAAACCCTTAAAACTCCAAAACCCACCTCCACGCTGTTTTCTATGGGCGTCGCCGTCAAAGCCCACCGGAACGTTGCCTTGATGGCTGCTGCCGCTTGGAACGTCGCCGTTTTCTGGTTCTTAATCTTAGTGGCCTGCAAACGAAAGAACGGATGCATCTATCGATAGCTTTGAGGGGAATTCGAACAACAGATGAGGGGCTATGTTGTACGGTCAGCCTTCTGATTGGATCAGGATCCCCGTGGCTCAGGTATTCGTCGCTTTTGTGACGACTTTATCAGCAACCAAGAGTCTGCATTTGATGTTTGTTGGATTCTTCTGGTAGAGTTCTCGTGTTCATGTAAGCCAAGGGCTGGCGGCGACCGCAGGGTATATAAGCAGGCGAGACCCCAGCCACTGATGGACGTCCCCTCCTCATGTGCGACCAACCTTTCCTTGCTTTGGCATCGGTGGTAAGCCGTTGGTGTCACTTTCTTTGGGCCCAGGCAACGGCTCGAGCATTACAGTCAGGAGTCGAGCTCTTTTCAGCACCTAAGCTGGTAGGCAACAGAATTCTCATCGCAAAAGGGCTCTGAAGGGAGTCCCGAACCCCAAAAGCAGCTCTTCCTCTTCTGTTTCGTTCTTCCTTCCGCACGGCAAAGCGCATAACGCTTCTACCCAAGGCAAAGTCGTTTGGTGGAATTTGACAAAAGAGTTTACCTCATCGAGAACGACTCTCGACCATAGCACTCGCCCCGCCGCGCCCCCAATCCCCGTTCCCTTCTGGTTGCTCCGGTACGTTTCATACGTTGTGATGACGACATCGTATCTCAGAAGCTCCTCCTCGCTCTGCGTGCGGCTGGCTCCCATCCATTCGTGGACTCGGAACGTGCCCTTTCTGACGTAGGCTTCGGCCTCCTTGTCTGCTCCAAGCGCTTTCTGCCAGACGTGGAGGACCCTGCGCAGAGTCGAGGTAAGAAGCTTGTGTTGCAACTGACAGTTACACCTATGAGACGTATAGCGCTGAAGCCCGGAAACCCTGAGAGAGTCCAGAACGCTCACAACCTCAAGGCCCAGAAGGTCAATTTAGCACATGGCATGGGCAAGGAATGGCTAGCAAGAATCTGCACTTAGCTTTTGAGTTGAAATCGATTTTCTGAGCACCAAATAAGCCACTGGTTGTTTGGTTCTCAGGGATTCAATTATGTGAAACTTTTATCGACTTCCTGCAATGAAAGCTGACCAGACTTGCTCCTTTGCTGGCAGGGCCACTTCTAACTAAGAAATTAAGACTGTGTTCAAAGCATGTGGCCTCACTTCCCGACGAACTCATGCGGATGATAATCGATCAGCTTCTATGTCTGCAAGGATCCACATGGGCTTTCAAATCACCAACCAACGTACTACTGCGCAACGTCCAAGCCTTCAAAAGTTGAGATGTCCTCAACTCGATGTATCAAAAGAGCGCGCAGCATCCGGAGGCAAGGGGAACTCACGATTTTGGGTAAAGGATCAGGGTGCCCCCGCAGTTGGAGGCGCCTACAGAGGACTTGGCGCCTTGCAGAAGAAGCAGGCAGACCACTTGCAGTGTCTTGCCCAGGCCCATGTCATCTGCAAAGCAAAAACCTAGTCGCTCAAAGCTCCTGCGGCAGAAGAGTCTCCGTTTAATACATTGTCAAAGCTTAGTAAGCGGTAGCGGGGTCGTCTGCAGCGGTGAAAGTCTGCCACGACACACACAGCAGTAGTTGCGCTTGTGACAGACCAGGGGCTGTGACTTGTTGACCATGGGACTTTCCCCAAGCACACTCGGTATGCAAGAAGCTGACTGAGCATTGAACGGCTACTACACAGTACTTGACTTGGGTACTAGGAGTTCAGGAAAGCTTGTCTCCCTGTTACTCTGATTGCTCAATTACCTCAAGTGGGCAACTCATTCTTGCCTTCGTCCCATTGTGTCGTATCAAGTACCGAACTAGGATTTGGTCAAATGCAGAGCAACAAAACAGTGGTTTGAAGGACCCAGGATGTACGATGGTCCGGTCAAGAAAGCCACCCTCAACACAACAGCTTACAAAGTAAGCAGTCTTAGATCTGACTGTTAGTGAGCGATATGAGGGTCTTGAATACTTTCAAGACAGAGGCAGGGGAGAAAGGAACCGAGAGTCAAGGTGCAGCTCAAAAGGCCATTGAAGACGCAGCTCTGCTATCAGTTCAACGTTAGGGAGATCTGATGCAGTTGTCTCCTTTCTTCGCAAGATGTGACCACAATACAACCCAAAAAAAGGATGCGTCTGATCCCTTCCTTTACTAAATGTGACCACAGTTCAACAGAGACAATCGCAACAACGCTGTAAGACAATCAGCCTCAGACTGATGACAATGTCGGCTTTCTAAGCCAGAACTTCCAGAGAGGCCAAGACTAGACAGTTGAGAATGCTAAGAGTTACTTGTGTCCTTTCATATCAGCATTGGCCAAGGCAGGCAATGCTGAAACACCCAGCCTCTCACCGGCGAGAATGCCGCCTTTCAAGGGCATAGTCCGTTCCTCTTGCTCCAGCATCCATTTCAGGCCTTCAACCTGGTGGCGATAAGGTTGGAAGTCATCTCGAAGCCCCGCCTTCAGCAACTTCTCTAAGAAAGCATCATTATTCGGATTAGAAGGGGCATTGTGTAAGAAAGATCCTCTTTCTTGAAGCTTGGAAGGTGTGGAAGCTTTGCGGACAGCGAGGTCTTCGTCCACCAACCAGTCTTCCTGAGTCGGTGCGTACACGCGACGAGACACTCGGGAGGCCATTGTTGAGTCTCTAAAGCATCACAAAGAAGCACTTCAATAGCAACCAAGCTTGCGCAAGGGGATGCTGCATCATGCATGTGCAGAGATATTCCTGAATGAACGGGAAGCTCCTGCTTTGCTGCAGGCAGAAGAACCCTAAAATGAGAATGAGCGCTGCTTCGTCCGACAAGCTCAACCAACCGTCGATCTCAGGACCAGGTCAACCGATTCAACTCGGCTGGAGCTTTGATGCTGCAATTTCACCCATATCGAGGGGGATCACTCTAATTCGTGCCCGTTCTCACCACGTAGCCTTAGGACTGGACGTCTGGTCACGAGATGCACACTTGCACATTGTCATTGAAGTTGCAACTTGCAATCATGATCGAAGAGTGAACTTGTGAGTTGTAAGTCGTAGCTAGCTGGGCAAAGTGGTGCTTGGAGAATTGCGGGAAGAGGCCACGGAAGAAGCGAAGCTGCAAAGCTCCTGCGTGGCAGATGGGGTCCATCAAGAAGCTCCGGCTTCTGTGCCTACATTCCTTTCGAACCAGCGCCCATATCTTTCAGAAGCAGATGGAGCGGGCCATGTGGACACAGCACTTTGAAGAGCAGTTGGACATGGTGAGTGATGCCAATGTTAGAGGAGATTGAAAGGCATTGCTCAGAAGAATGCGACCTTTTATCTACTGGAAGGTACCTGCTGCATGCACGTAGGGATTAATCCAGATTGTTTTTAAGTCACAGTGGTAATACCTGGCGCACTACTCGACGTATGTGGTGGCGCTCTGAGCTGCTGGCGGCTGCTACCTCCCCTCCACAGACTGAGCTATGACTGATAGCAATCTGCAAACATGCATCTGATTGAGTCGAAGGTTTGTGGAACACAGGGGTTCTTGGTACGTTGATCTGGATGGCCTCAATCATCTGGCTGCTCAAAAGCATAGGTGGATGTGTTTGCCTGATGCTAAAAACTGCTGCAATTGAACGGCAGAGACAATGCCATGTATCTATCACCTCCTACTTAAATGATGCTATCGACATCTTCAAGCTCACATAGCACGTTTTGAATTTATCAATGGTAAGCGCAATCCGCAGATCTTGGAAATTCAGTCCCGCAGCAGATTCTCTAGCAAATTCCAGACTGGGCCACACATAGAACTGGTCTCAATGAAGTGTGACCAAGAGGAACTGCTTTGTACAGGTGTTCTTGGATGCCCCACACCAGGCAGCTGGCCCGTCTGATGTTGCGGCCGTTTATGACCCTCCATACTTTGAGTGGGCGAATCTATCGGATGTGAGTTGGTAAGCTGCCAGCGCTTTTTTGTTCATGCCCACCCGAGGATTACTGGAATCTGCATGGGCCCCTTTGTTTGATAGTGCACTGCATACAAATGCAGGATTTGGAAGTGCGCTCAAGTTGTGGGGCAGACCATATGACGAGAGGGTCTAGAATCACTATCTGCGACTACGGTGATAGCCTTGCTGTCTATCTTTTTTCTTTGCCCTGGAACTTTCTGAGACTTAAGAGTAGTTTACTCTGCGCTTTGGCTTTCAGTCGGTGTGCAGTCTTGTCGCGCAGATTTGTACTTTCTGGTCAGGAGAAAAGCCTTTCTGGCTGTTCAGCCACCAAGTGTGAAGCTTCGTGGATACACTGCAAGGTCTGGATATCCTCTCGATAACGAGCAGCAGAGATGTGGCCGTCAATCCATCGTCAGGCCCGCTATTGCCCTTCGTTTTGAGCTTTAACGTAATCCATCTTACGTCGCAGGACCGGAAGGAGTTCCGGGGCATTGATGACACCATCGCTTACGTCACAGACTACCTAACAATGCACGGGCCCTTTGACGGCCTCATGGGCTTTTCCCAAGTGAGGGGCTCTGCTGGCCTAATCATATGTGCTGCTCTTTTTAAGCATCGCCTTCATGCATCCTTGGACCTGACCCTTTGTCTGCAGACATTCCTACGAAGGAAGTCACTCGAGATGATTCCAGACCTTCAAGAACAGCAATGAAGAGAATCCAAGCCGGTAGAAAGTTGATGCATACTTGCCCTGAGTCTCTCCAAACAGACAGTCTTGAAGAAAAGCGCCGTACAGGACTTTCTGCCGGAAAAGTCTATCCTCCAAAAGTGATCCTTCATTCAACGCCGGTTCCTCAATGTGCAGGGAGCCATTGTCTCCTCTATTCTTGTCGCACTCCAACAAAAGGTACGTCGGCAGACTGACAGCCCCCTCTCGTTGCCGTCTTGGTTGTCTCCCGTGGCACCCATTTCGTCGCCTTGTTTTCCTTCTGCCTTTCTTTCTAGCTTTTCATCTCTTGCTGTGCCTTGCCGCAGCAAGCTTTAAGAAGGTTCCCGAGCGTGTCGTTTCTCTGGGCGCGCTTCATTGGCACTGAGGAAGCAGAAGGAAGTTCTGGCTCACCGGAAAGCTTGGACATTCCGATCTTTCTCCTTCCAAGGAGCCTTGTTTCCTGCAACAACCTTTTACAATGCATGAGTCCTGGCCATCCGGCTATGCGAACGGGAAACCTTCAAGAAAAGGGCCCACACTTTCGAGGATCCAGAACGCAGGTCATCAGGTTGACGAGAAGGGTTACTGTGCGGCCGCTGGTTCCACTAAGAGCAAAGTTCACGCTTGTAACCAGTGCCATATGATCCTTCAAACCGCAGGGCGCGGTTTTGCAAGGCGTTCCCCCGCTGAGGTGCTGCGTCTTCGTTGGAGGAGGCCGGTCACGTGCCGAGGCTTTCCGGGACCTCTACGAAACACCCATCCGCTGCCCGTCGCTTCATCTTATCGGTACGGTACCCTCGCTCCAATTTTTGTGATGAAGCTTAATTTTGTGTGGCTCCTCTTTCAATTGTGGTTCCGTTGGCGACAGGTGGTAGCATCTTAGTCACTGGCTTGTAGTCGTCTCATCGACGCCCCCCATCGCCCAGCTAATCAGAATCACGTCCAGCTCGAAAGATAGCGCCTTTCAACCGCGCAAACCTGGTTCTAGATAGAATTAGAAACGATGAAAGTCGCTCATTCTGTTCATGCCGGTATCCGTTGGTCACGCTCTTTCTTTTGTCAGTTGACCTCTTTTGACCGTTTAACGAAAGTAGCTGATCCTTACAAGCTTTTCTGTCAAGTGGGGATTGCTCGCCTCTTGGAATCGAAAAGTAACGCTCTGACCCGCTTATGCTCTGAACGTTGATGATGCTCGCGAGTTTTGATACGGACATGGGGATTGCACCCCGTTGAGCCGCAGGTGATCGTTGAGAGTGCGCTGAGCATTGATACGTGTTTCCTTTCGCCTCTTGTGAAATCATCTTCAGACATTCCTGTCATGGATCATTCTTGAGAAGGCGGCTTCCAGTTCAGAACCACTCGTCTCCATGCCCCTTCCTCCTTTCTTGAGATGGTCAATTTGTTCTTCGTTGCAGGTGACAACGACTTCATGAAGCTATCCTCCCAAAAGCTCGCATCCGCGTTTCAGAACCCGACGGTTGTACGGCATCCTCAGGGCCACGTGGTCCCAAAACTAGGTCATTAAAGTGACGCTTATTGAAGCCGTTGACAGCAGCTTGGGATAGAGTCGCTGGAGCCTTCTGGGCGGTCTCAATCCTAGACGAGGCCGCATTTGCGGTCAAATCTGCATAACAGTCCGTTTTCTGATTGAGCCCTGTCTCTTCGTTTCCTGTGGTCTGATCGCGCTTCTGTTTAGTCGATCCCGCTCGTTTCTCACCCATCTGAGGTGGACAAGGGATTGCGGAGTCAGCGCGACGTCAGAACATACATTTTGCCAAACCAAGCCGTTAGAATGATTAGATGTTGAGACAACTGTTATCCTTGTAGAGGGAACGACTACAGTCAGCGCTAGAGCCCAGCCAATGTCCTGCTGGACCTTGAACAAAGGCTTCACCAGGACTTTCCGACCACACGTTCTCCAATTGCAGAGGCGACTTGTTCGACTCAAGCTCTACGGTTTCTTTCATGCAGATGACGCGGCCCTGAAAGCATGCCAGATCTTCTTTGCGAGAATCCAAGAAGCAGCACAGGAGCATCGCGTCTCTGCGTTATAGCTAGAAGTACCTCGAGCTCAACTCCGTCGGCTTTCCAAGCCGCTCCTATCAGTCTGAGTCCCTTTGAGAAGCAGCGAGAAACCTGTCATGCTGAGTTTTCAAAAAGCGGGGGGTCCGACCGTTCTTTTCTCAGATTCAATGTAACCGCGCGCTCTACATGCCAGCAATTGGTGTGGAGGTACATGTGACGATGGTGTGTTGCGCGCAAGCTCGTGTAAGCACAATATGCACGTATTCTCCGTCGTACGGTAGGCATGCACTCGATGTAGCCGCCTGTATGAATCGGCCCCCATGGCTGCAAATCAATTCTGCAAAACCTTTATTGCATCGAGATTCATTGCCGGCGGCGCCTATGCTGCGCAGCTATAAGCTAATCCGACTTGGTCAGACGCCATGAACATGCACATGGGCATCGCAGGTGTCGCTTTGTCATAATGCATGGGTTTTTCCGCGTATATATACATATGAAGAGAATCAATGTATATAAGTAATCATGCAGACAAGTAACACACATGCATCGACTCAACATGTCGTCGGATGTCGACCTGCGTATGTGCGTTTGGTACACAAGATAAACCGGAAGAGAATTTTGGAGAATTCATCGGTAAGAGCTAGCTCTAGCCTATAGAGAGTGCGAGCAAGCTTGAATGCCTTTCAAATTGAAGAAAGTTCGACAAATTGTCATGTGGCAGATCAAAGTGTCGTCTCTAACCATCAACATTCGCATGAAAATTATGCATCGTGATGTCAAAGGCAAAAGAACAGCAAGTGTGGATCCGGAATTGGCCGTAGTTCCACTGATCGACTGCAGGGCCATTCATAACAACGATACAACAAACATTGAACGGGCGAATTGATGAATAATGCGATTGTCATCTTTGTGCCTATTTCCTGCTGAGAGAGTTCTTTGTAAAAGTACCGACCTCCTGGTCAAGACGACTGCTGTTTGTATCCGAAGCATCTCAAAAAGCTAACCTTGACTCAGACGTTCACGATGGATTACAGATTGCTTCGTACATAACTCTCAATGTCAACCTTTGCAGAGTCTCGTGCTACTTCCGTTTGGCTGCATGTGTTGTATTCTTCCTTTGCCTCTTCCTTTGCTTCGTTGTCACGGTCGGATCTTTTAAGGACTCTTGAATCTTAAGCTCCCGATAAACGCAGTAGATTGCAAAGGTTGGTGCCGGTCCTCGAAAACTGAGCGCCCCCACCAGCGTGCAGAGAGCAACCACCGGCCCGTCCTCCAGCAGAGCAAGGTAAGTGAGCGCCAGCGTGAGGCCAATCAAGTCAACCAAGAAGAAGACGAAAGCCGGTTGCGATTCAGCAGTCTCTGCTGTTGCCTTGAGGAGCGACAACAGGACTACAAAGCCATCTCGAAGGCAGAAGAGTGTGAATAAGCGCCAGCCCACAATGGTCAGAGCGACACCTTGATACGCCTCGACTGCATACCGTTCCATCTGTTCAGCGGTGCTTTCAGCTCTCAATTGCGGTGAGATCATCCAAAAGAAGATCTGAAGATAGCCGCCAAACGCTGCCAGGAAATTGTACCAGGGGCTTTCTGGATGGTGGTGTGCGAAAACGAAGGCAAAGAAGCAGGGCGTCAGGATCTGCGCTGGGATTAAGCTAATGAGGGAGTACATGCGATCGGTGAGCTTGCGTCTCTCGGCGCACTGAGCGCTTCGATCCCCTTGGAATCCGTTGAGCAGGAAAGGCACCCAGACGAAGCAGAAGGACACGAGGCTGCTGCTGAGCGATGCTGTGATCAGGAACTGGCCAGGAATGGCAGCCGCAATCTGCATGAAGAAGAGGCCCCGCACTCTGCAGGACTCGATGCCCCCCATCAGCGCGCTGATAAAGATCAGGAAGGAAAGCTCTCCTAGCAACAGCAGACCGGCAGGGTGATTCACGCTAGCCTCAGCGGTGGCCCTTGCTTTCAGGTACAGGTGGCGAAGAACTCCATCTGCGCTTCTGATGCTGTCCTGCATGACCTGGCTCTCAACGAAAAAGCGGTCTAGCAAGGCTGTTTTGTACGTCAGGCAGACCATGCACAGCAGAAGCAGAGGCGCGCATATCAGGATGCCACGCGCGCGTGACGTAAGAGGCGCCATGCTGGCACAAGCAACTGCGTGAAGCTAGCGCCCCTACTGTAGATCCTATTGCACCAATGCCTGATCAGATGAAGAGCTCGAATCGCCTCCTGCTTTCGCAGCTAGAAACCTGGAGCTTTCAAGCACCTTAGCCTTCGGAAGAAACTCGTCTTCTCAAATGCTTGCGTCTGTGGCTACGAATTCTTCCAAGGCGTGTCTCACCATCTCAGAACTTACTTCGAGAGCCAGACCGACGTTACTGAACAGCATATCTCTGTCCAAGTCTCCGACCATTTTCGGCGTCGAAGACACGTGGCGCCTTCAGCAATTCAATGTTTCCCGCTCCGTTGACGTTAGGCTGGTCCCTGAAGCCTGCTCGAGTATGCGTCCGAAAATTCTTGTCCTGACTTACCGCGCGAGGTGGCGCCTTTCGGAAACCACTTGCTTCAATTGAATGCCTCAACTCTGAAATCTAGGATGGCGGTCCCTTGAAAGGAAGCAGCCGCAGCAGCATGCGCAGCATCCCCCAACCTTGTCTGATAAGTTCTTCGAAGGTGGCACGCAGGAGCGCAGGCCGGGGACGCATGTCATTTGTGTTTGAGTTTTGGCGCCCTTCAGGATCTCGAACCGGTGCTGATGCGCCCTTTTCTTCAACAACTCTGGTATCTCAGTTTCTCTGAAGACATGCTGTGATTCTGCTACAGGAGAAGGCTGTGGACATGGCGCTGTCTTTGGACGAGTGCTTCGATGTGCAAAAGTACTCAACACACGTCCTCTGCCTCAAGTATCCAGGAGGGGACGCAAAGGCCTCGGACTTTAAGGGGGACGCTGATCAGGTCTTGAAGAAGGGGAAGAGGAAGAGAGGAACCGATGCAGCAGATTGCATGGCCTCACAAAATGTGCACGTGAATGCAGCTATTCTGGCGACGAAGAGCGAGGTTTTAGACAAGCTGCTGAATAGTGAGATGCAGGGGAGTAGCTCAACACCTAGTGTGATGCTGCACTCAAAGGAGGAAGCGGACTTGATGTGCACCCTTCTGAAATTCTGCTACAACTCTGACCTGATTGATGAAATTGCAGATGAAAAAGAAAAGGTGCTGGCCTTACTAGTTCTAGCAGATAAGTTTCGAGTTACAGAGTGCTTCCCAATCTGTGCTGACATTCTAGAAACTTCCCTGGATACAATAGAAGACGCGAGCATGTTCCTCTCCTTGCCGGACTTCTTGCAACAGCAGGCTTGCTTGCAGCGGTTCGTTGAATGCAGTCGCAAAACCTTGGAAAAGAAGCTAGAGAATCTAGATGAGCTCTTTACCTCAGGAAAGCACGTCTCCCTTTCCCTCGAAGTGCTGAAGATTGCTTTGGAAAGCAATGTGTCTCGGATCAACTCGGAGAACACCTGCTTCTGCATTGTTTGGGACTGGATTGAGGAGAACTGCAAGGGTCCATCAGCGCGGAAAGCTGCTCTAGGAGAACTTCTTACTGCACTCAAGTTTGGCCATATGACCGGCGACTTCCTGCTGGCCATCAGCGCACGACCTGATATGACAAGGCCTTCAGCGGCTGGGCTCATCAAAGAAGCACTTCGATTCAGAATGGGCCAATCATCGGAGAATCCTGGGAGCTTCGATCTGAGCAAGATTAGCGCGCGGCCGTCTAACACCGCATGTGGTCTCCATAGGCCTTGGGTCTGCTTCGAGGGGGTCGCTGAGAGCACGCTGGTAGCCTTGGAACTCGGAGAGAACGTCAAAGTTCCGCCAATCTTCGTGGATGGCTACCTGTTTGACTTGCAAATACAGCGGCAAAGTGAAGACGAGTGCGACTTTTCGATCCATGTCAACCCCTGGAAGCAACTGCAGACTCCAGAAGACAAGGTATCGTTGAAATCGAGACTTGCGACGGGCGCGATTAAGGAAACCCTTTGGAAGCAGAAGTGGAAAGATACCGCTGTTACAGGTCGGGGTTACAGGTCACCCAATGTAAAACTTCTGGCATCGAGTGGGAAGTCTGTACAGAGAAAGTATCTGGCCATTCCGGAGAGAATGCTTATCTTCTACCTCGCAATAGAGTGGAACAATTGATACGAGAGATAGTAGGCAGGTACCGGGGACGTTCAAACAGTGTTTGTGGATGCGAAGTACGGCTGCTGGATTTGTTAGAGCGCTTTCCTGTCCCAGGATCTGGCTTGTACTACTCAAGCCCATCTGGGGCATGAGCCCAAGAGTCTTGTTGAAATCCACAAAGTTTTAGCCATCCTATTTTACACGTACTTTTGCGGACCATGCGAGTCATCCAATCAGAGATATGACCTTCAAGTAATCTGAGTATTTTTTGATTGTGATGGTCTACCGGGTCAGGAAGAGGTGATTCCCTGGTCCTTCTTGGCTGCTCCGTACCCTGGACTACTAATGTTAAATGATATCGATCCTGATAGTGTAACAGTCGACAAACAATGCGGGGCTGTGTAACCTGACAGGTGCGTACGAACCTGAATGCATAAGGCAAGCTCGCGAAAATGGTCATCTCCTGAAGTTCTTAGGTGGTCCCAGGGATTATCAATCACAGCAACAATCTATTCTCGCCCCGAGCGGCGCTCGTTTGAAACCTCAGCGTGTTTCTCAAGCTCTGCCATGCTTTGGACGGTGCATTGCGGCCTAGTGGTGATATAATTTGATGATGAAGTCCGCATGCGCCTGTGCCAAAGGAATAACACTCCGGACTGTTTGTCCTCCACATCATGTTGCAGATTGCAGTTATCCATTTGTACTCTATAATTCTACATAATCATTCCGATCTTTGAGTTACTGGACACATCGGCATCAAGGTGATATGTACAGGGAGTCAATAGAATCGATCAGTGCCGGGGCATGAGTGTGTGAATACTTCAATCTTAAATGGTTTCAAGCTCCAGCGCTAGCATGCTGTCCCGAGAATTGTGCGCTTGCGTTGGGCCAGATCTTTAGCAACAATTTCACATGGTCTACTCCTGATATCAGACTGCTGCGTCCACCTCGTCAATAATGATGATTGTGGCACAACTTGTGCAATATCGATCATTACGCAATCATTCTAGCAATTGGATGTCTGACGCTGCACAGTGCACAAGTGTTCGCCAATCATCTGATGGAGTACAGTAAGTATCATGAGCTCAATCCTCACTGAGATCGTCAAGCAGATCCGTTTGGCGACTTCAAAGGTCGTTTGCAGTCAGACGTGCAGCCATGCGATGGATGCAGAACCATATCTTGTTGAGAAGATAAAAGGTGAAGCTAGCAATTTGATTGAACGGAGAGCCAATGCTTGTCTGATCGGAGTCATGGCTGCACACAAATGAACATGGTGCAAAGTCGATCTGTAACAATCTGTACACCGCAGAGATACATAGAGATAACGACTTGGAAAGAAATCATGAGCAAATTTCCTCCCAAATTACGTTTTCCATATTGTCACAAGCTCCAAGGTCATGCTCCTTTCCAGGTGACCTAGATACTTTCGCTGGACTGACTTCCCGTCATCTGTAAGCAGCTTCACACTTTTCATAATGTAACCATGCCCAACTATGCTGTCTACCCAGCTTTGTGTCCAAATCAATTCTGGCTGAGCTGAGACTGCCGACAGCCTTGTAAAGATGGACACTCTGTCCTCCGCGCTTTGCAGTTGTTTCCACCCGTTGACCCAGAGAGTGAGTTTGAAAACCCCGTCTGACATCCGCTCTATGTTCAACTGGAACATGTAACCATCAACAAAAATCTGTGGAACATTGATTGAGTACCCAGATTCCAGGCCAACCAAAGAGCTCTCAGGAATGCTCTCAAAGCAGTAGTACGAGGCGCAAGATGGCCGCTTGCCAACACTGCTCAACCCAAAGCATCCAGGGCTTTTTGTAAAGGGGCCTGTTCTGTAGCGAAGTGCTGCCTTGATGAGCCCTGCCGCCGAAGGCCTGGTCATATCCGGCTGGGCCGCAATAGCAAGCAGGAAGTCGCCCGTCATCTGGTGGAATCTCAGGAGCGGGAGGAGCTCCCCAAGGGCCACCTTCCGCGCAGACGGCCCTTTGCAGTGCTCAGCGACCCAGCTCCACACTAAGCAGAAGCACGTGTTCTCTGACCGCACCTGCGCTGATTGACTTCCAAGCGCCAACTTCAGGACCTCAAGAGACAGGGTAAGGTACTTCTCAGAGTCGAAGAGCGCATCTAGATTCTACAGAAGCTTCATGAGCGCCTTGGAGCTGAGCTCTACGTATGAGCGAAGTGCGGGCTGCTCTCTTAGGTGTGCGGGTAGGGAGAGGTACAGACCCGCGTCCGCTACTGTTGACACGCTCTTCCCCAGAATGCTAGCGCACGCTTGGATGCACTCTGTGACCCCGAATTTGTCGGCCAGCATGAGCAGCCCAAGCAACCTCTCCTTGCTGGCCGCCACTTCCTCTACCGCTCCAGAGCTATAGCAAAACTTCAGCAGGGTGATCATCAGGCCTGCCTCCTCCTCTGACTGCAGCACAACGCTGGGAACCGCACTCTCTCCCTGCATCTCACTGTTCAGAAGGCGGTCCAGGACCTCGCTCTTTGTCGCCAGAATAGCGGCATTGACATGCACCGACTGGGCCACTGTGCTTTCTTCTAGTATCACCCTCTTCCGCTTCCCCTTCTTCACAACCTGACCTGCGTCTGCTTGGACCTCTGAGTCGCCTTCGGTTCCGGGGTATTTTAGCAGGAGCATGTGCGTGGAGTACTTCTGCACATTGAAGCAGTCGGTGAAGGACAGCGCCATTGCTGCTTCCCGGATGCACCAAAGCCTGTCCTTGCATCAGCGGCGACGTTTACTTGCAAAACCAAAGTAGGTACCTTCAGAGATCTGTTTTTGATGAGAGAGCTCTGCTCTTTGCAGGCTCAGCTCCCCTTGCAATTTCCCTGTTGCTGACTGCAAAATGTGCAACCCAAATTCGACTCCGGGGAAGATTCAAAAGCTTCGCGGGAAAAGCAGATGCGCATTGCGGACGTCAAATCCGACATGATGACGGCTTGAGATGCATCTGATCTACCAATCGACGGCCTTAAAGGGGGCGTCCTGAGACCCGTCACGCCTCGGCGACCAACTAGCCCGTATGCCGGTAGTTTGGTCGCTAGACCTAGTACCACGTGACCAAACTTCTGGCGACACAAGATGTGGAGTTGCTGCGAAGGGACCGCCGGAGTACCACGTGGGTAGACGCCCACTTTAAGCACCAGTTGATCAGCATGCATGAGTCACCACGTGCGCATCGCCTAGCGCTAGCCCGCGCTGTACCGCGGCCGCGCGTGGCCGCCGCCGCGGGCTGGCGTGACTGCTCAGTGCCATGCACAGTGAGCCTGCCCGGCCAGGAAAAGTTGGGCGCCGCGGCCGCCCGACAGGACGGCGCCCGCCGACGACTGCCGGTCACGCACTCCCATGACTTGCCCATTACCCCCCTCATCAAGCTTGTAACTATTTCAATTCTGTTATGCAATTGCTATCATCCTGCTATCCTGTCTGCTATATGCCCGCTACTATATCTACTATGCTATCCAATTCTCGCAGCTGTGCGCTGCATCAGAGCACTGCCATGAGTGCCACAAACGTCTTTCTCGAGGCATTTAAATTCCGATTGACTAGCAGCTGTGTATCAGATTCGCGGTTCATCATACAGCGACGTGTTCAAACCCACAATCGGAAACCATGCTCTGAGCGCTCGATCAGCGTTACGTGCGTTCAAGCGATGAGAAGAAGACTATAAGGCATTACCCTAATCCCAGACAAATCATCAGTAGGCACCCGAACGTCGCGGGCGTCTTTATCATTCGAATGATTTTAGTAATACGATCGAAGAGCTCTCCACGGACTGCCAGTTGCGGGAAAAACCAGGCGGAACATGTACAGTTGCAGGGAAGACAAGATGGTCCCAGAAGTAGCTGGCCTGGACTTCACTCTACTCAACAGTCACAAACACCTCGTACTGATCTGCCACACTAGGGCCTTTTACAACTTGGGCCTCTTTCAACTTTCTTCGTCCATTGATGTACGAGGCTGCTTTACGAGGGTACTCTATATATGATTTGCGGCTTTAGTCAAAGTCACAGTGATTGTGATGGTATGGAAGACTACAAAGGTTATCCAATCCTCACGCCGGCGTCAGCTTTACAGCTTTAATCGAGTGCCCCTTCGCTTGCCAGCAGGGCTACAGAAGTTTTACATTCAAATCAGGGTCGGGTCAGGACAGGACTCACCTGCCACGGCAAAATAAAGACAGTTTATGTTTGCAATCTTCAAGTCAATCTCAAGACTCATGTAAGCGCTTTCAGTTGCAACAGCACTCAGTGAGACTGCAACGGAGACAGCGCCTGAAAGGCAGGTCCAAATCGAGACATGGAGGTCGCCATTAACCAAAACGCAGGTCGTTCTTTGAGAAACTGGCCACGCCTGCACCCTTTCAGGTTTGGACGTATCTTGGGGCCATGCAAATATGCAAATCTTCTACGACAAGCGCTTCTCAATTTAACTCCCGATGGAGCAAAAGAACGAGTCGAAGCAACGCCACGTGTCTCCGAACGGGAGCAATCCGTAGTCTGACCACACGAGAACGTCTAGGTGATATGAAACCTGACGGAGCCTGGTGCCAAACACGGCCGCAAGCCGCGACTCCTGTGGGCTGCCACTAAAGTACGTGTCTCCTCTATCTCGAGGTCTCACACAATGATGCAGGAATGCTCAAACACAGAGTTCATTCTCCCTTCCGATCAAGCGTCAAGAATTAAGAGCGGCTCCTTTACTGAATCACGAAGACAGGCACGCGGGACAAAGACTTTGTGTGGCTTTTGTGGCGAAGGCAGGTGAATCGTCCGCACCAGAGACTTTCGATTCCTGTGCGCGGGTTTTCGAAGTTCAGAAACTTCATTCAAACCCCGTCTAACGAAGACGCACCGGATCACCGCAAGACTTGACCACACTGCCCGTGCATTTCCTCTACCCCGCGCAAAAAGCTTCCATTCCTAGTTGCTCACCAGCCCCAGCCCAGCAGCGCACCCCGCCCCGTTGAATGCCTTATCCAGAAACGCGCCCACCCGGTAGAATTCCCCGGGGTTCAGCTGGAGCAAGCGCACAATTGTGACAGTGGCGCAGTTTTGCGCGGTCGTATTGCCGGCCGCGATGGCCGACAGCGCCCCCGAACGCGACACCCCGAGGAGACCCGCGGTCACGTCAGTGAAGGCATTGAAGCAGGCACCGCACACGAAGTTAATGTTGGCCCTGGGTTCGAGAAGCAGTGAAGCTTTTTGCGTGAAACTTTTGTTATTCTTTGAAGCAGGTACCGCACACGAAATTAATGTTGGCCCTGGGTTCGAAAAGCAGTGAAAGGTTTTGCTTTGAACTTCTGCTTATCTTTTGAGGCCTTCCAACAAGGGCGAGAGCGACGAGGCGATCGGAATTTCTGCCTCAGTACGAATTGGCTCCTGATAAAACTGCCATCGTTTTTCCTCGCCTGCCGCGATGGTCCAAGAGAGACGCGCGGAGAGAGTTTCGAAGGACTGATAATGCATGGGTGAAGGGCGGTGGCATTTGGAGATGGTGACCAGCTCCTAATTGCATACAGAACTTTCCGTTCGGAACTACGATTTAATCCGCAGTCTTCAGCATCTGGGGAACAAAAACTTTCCGGGGAAACAACTCAAGGGAACGCTTGCACTCAGGACCGCTCTCAAGGCCCGTAGTAAAGCCATTCTCATCGCTTGAAGCATCCAAGCAAGATGATACAGTTCCGGCGAAGCCTATCCAGGCAGCACAACGAAGTTCTTTGCAGCCGTATTCTCCGTTCGATGCACAAAATCTCGCCAGGACACTCCGCCAAAGCGGGACGTCAGGACTTGTGGCGAAGATTTTTTAGGAGCTAAGTGGGATACGGCTTACGTGGGCAGATTTGCGCAGGCGCTTCAGGGGTTCTGGCGAGATACTTTCAGGAGCTAAGCAAGGTTGCGGCTTACGTGAGCAGATTTGCGCAGGCGCTCAGGGCGGCCTGAGCGGCGGCTGTCGGCAGAACCTTGATGGGGCACGTGTTGTTGGGCGTGATCTCGAAAATCAAAGGGTCCTGCGAGAAATGTGTTGATTTTATGCCCGGTAAAACTTCACCGGCCTCCGTTCCCTTCGCTTCATATTCCGTCTGGTTGTCTTTGATCCGGTGATTACGCCTCTAAATTAATACGCCTCGAACCTAAAGAACAGTCTCAGACTCAAGCCTAAGCATGTCTACGGCATTGGTGGCAGAATCGGAAACAGGATGGAGAAAGGCTGGAAAGTTTCCTTGTGTGGAGGGAACAGCAGGTTTCGAACGTGGACCTTCTGAGGTAACGATAGGCAGAGCGATACGTGCGCAGGGCCACTACGAAGAGATTGAGTGGGGGCAGTGAGAGCGTAAGTGCTCGTAGTTGAATCAATCCTGTCGACAAACGCTGGAATCTGAGAACTACATCTTTATCAGGGCTGATGCAGTCCGAGGAATAACGCTTCCTACTTCTCTTCCACTTCGATCTGCCTGCTGTTCAAGCAGGTGGAGGTGCGGAGCAAGCGCGGTTAAGGTGTTCGGTTTAAGGGGTTAGCGCTAATCGTGAGTCCTACCGCGCACCCCTTGGAGAGGTTAGCGATAACGCCGAACGGCGCGAGGTCTCGCAGGGTCAAGTCGAGGCACGCCCGCTCCGTGTTGCGATTGACAGTGGCGTTACCCAGGGTCTGTGAAGAAAACAGGGAACCAAGTGACGTCAGCTCGTGGATCATGTCTCCCTTGCTAAAACACGTAGGACTGAGTCAACTTTAACACTCAGCATTCAACGTGGCTATAGCTACTAGTAGCTACTGAAGTGGTGTCGTGCAGGAAACGAAAAAGCTGCTGGTGTTGAAACAGCGCTGCTTAGGTTTCTATCTAGCTGCCTGCTCTCTGCCGCGGCCTGCCAACTCCTAAGGAGCATGAGGTTAGAAGAGAGAACGGTTTCGATGAGTACCGAATGACAACGAAGCTTCCAGATCCCCACTTCCTAACAAAACACACCTCCTTGAGACAGCGAGTACTACCTACTTGAGTTTGACGCCGTATACCAAGTGTTTGATCGGCAGGCTTTGAAGCAAACAGTAAGCCGTCTCAGGAAGTCTGGCTGCTGAACATGCATATTTTAACCAGACTTGCCTTTCAGGTTATCGACCAAATAACCGGGACTTAATCTTGTTCCAAGGTTGGCTACCGCCCAATTCTGCTCATTGCAGAACATATAAGCACTTTCTAACCAGCCTAGAAGCATCCCGTAACCATCCATGCTTAAGGGCCAAAAACTCGTGCACATACTTTATGGGCGGGACAAACCCAAACGGTTAAGGCTGGATCTCGTGGACACAAAGTTTCGCACCTGGGCTGCCTGGTTTGACGCAATCCCCGCGTTCTCCCACAGATTGTTGATGGCGCCACAGCATGTGACCTGGGAGGGCTGCGTACCGGTACAGTTCGCGGCGACAGAGCGCAGGGCGTTTGCGGGGAAGGTGACGCCGGTGCACTGCCCGGGGGTTGTCCCAGCTGCGACACACGACTTCTCTTAGATCTCGTTCTTATATCTTGTTCGTTCGTTCTTCGTTCTCACGTCTCGTTCGAATCAAAGGCGAGTAAAACCCGTACGGGCAGAGGCAAAGCAAAGGCAGAGAGCTTGGTGGGCGGAAGGTTTAACATGTTGAAGCAGATTTCGTGACAGATCCTTTAAAGATCACAGTGCCTACAGAGTTTAAGAACACATTGGAGGTCGAAACTGCAGAGTACAACTGATCATCAGAATGGACACGAAGACCTATCACACTTCCGCCTGCTCGTCCAATGGATAGGAGTTTGCCTTGAAGCATACTATAAACAAATCAAACTAGAAACCGCTGAACATCCTCCTTTCGTTCGGCACTTGTAGCCTTGGCCAGCCATCTCCACAGAACTGGTCAGATGAGAAAACTTTTGTTCACGACTTACCTTTGGACGGCGGAGTCGGCACTTGCTGAAGCACCCGGGAAGCCATGGACCGGTCACAGAAGCTGACGGCCGAGAGAGCCAGGAAGAGCCAAAACGTCGTGGAAGCCGCCATTGGGGGCTGCTCGAAAACAATCGTAGAAATCTTTGCTTAGGGTGTTGCGGCGCAGTTTCTCAACTTGGCTTTGAGTGCCGCTTCGAAGGAAAGGTACTCTGGGGAGGATTGTTGGAGCACTGGCTTATATAGGAGGGACTTAAGCGGTGAAGCTTTCTCAATCGACTTGTCACTTGCTGTTCTTGAGAAGCTGATCGGAAGACGATTAACAGGTCTAGTGAAATCTTAGTCGATAAAGTCGTACTTGATCCGGCCACCTGATCTCCTGGGCAACTTTGAACAACGGTGGGAAGCGATAACGGCGCGCGGTATGCTTAGCTAGCCTCTGGCAGCGTTCGGGGCGACAAGACTCTCTGTCGCAAGAGATACGGTTTCGTGAAACCCATCATAGTAAAACGATGCATACAATGCCACAAGGGGCGGTGGGCGGCTCAGCTAAGATCAGTTGCATAGGCTTATGCAGTCGCCGCTTGGCCTGAAGCGTCCAGATAGTCAAATCCAATGTATAGACATCGATCGTCGGCCCAAAAAACGAAGACACGATGCGTAAAACGCAATGAATGTACACAGAATATTGGCCCACAAACTGGTGCTCCGATGGTTGAACATTCTTGGCCCACAAAGTGGACCAGTCAGAATGAGTCATATCCAATGAAGATACACTGTTGGCCCACAAACCGTTTCTTCCCATGGTTTTTCCACATCCGGGAATTCATCAAACAAGATGCTCCTTGAATTAGCCCGCCTAGCGTCTCCTACCTCGGAAAAGGTCACAAAAGCGTCGTACTACGTTTGTACACTAGGGTTCCAAAGTTGTTTTTGCTTCCGGCAAGCTAGTATTGATGGTACGAGGCTCGCTTGTACACGTGTTATATTCAAGGCGTCTCCAGGGTAGCAGGAGATTGCTAAAGAAACTGTACTTCTGGCAAGCGAAGGCGGCACCAGAAACGGTGACGTCGGCGTGACGACCGGTTGAAGTCTCTCGCAGCCTATTTCGAGCGGAGCCATACCAAGCTACGGTCCTGGAATAGGATTCGCCATCGAGCCTGAGACCTGCAACCGGAGAAGAATGGATATTCGCCCTTTTCTTGGTGCTCGACACTCCAATTTTTAATTTTAAGGGCGTAATGCTCAAACTCTTGATCTGTCGGTTGTTAGAAAAGCAAGCTGCTTTTTGAATCACGAAGCAAAGGCACACGCTCAAAACGGGTGCCTTCCTTCTTCGGCTGGTAAGACAGGTGACCCCGACAACATAAAGTTTGCGATCTCCAATGCTTCCAACAGTCACGATACCAAAGGGCCTTCCAAGCTTTCCACGTGCACACATCTTGCAAATGGACTCGACTCTGTCTGACAAACAGGCACTGGTCAACCTGAGCCGTCCGATGCTTTCACCTTGTTGATTGATCTGCTCACGTAGTCGGCACAATCTACGGGCGGACGGCCGGGTGTGACCAATACCCATGATACAAGGTACTTTTGTTATTGTTTCATAGCCCTAACCTTCCTTGATACACATCGAACCTCTTCGTTTTCCAGCCATTTTGGTGAAGTTCGCGCAACCAATCCCGCCGTTTCTGAAATTCTCGCTTTTCCACCCAAGAAGCCCCACTCCTAGTTTCTCACCGACGCGGCCGGGCACCCCGTCCCGTTGAACGCCTGGTTCAGAAGCGCGCCCACGCGGTAGAAGCCGGGATTCTGCGCGAGCAAACGCGCGAGCGCGACAGTGGCGCAGTCCCGCGCGGTCGCCGCGGCCGCGATCGCCGGTGGCGCGGCCCCGGGCGCGGGGGTGAGGAGACCCGCGATCGTGCTGGTCAGGGCGGTGAAGCAGGGACCGCACACGGCGTCGGGCCTAAACTTGGAGACGGGCATTGTGCTTCGGTTCATTTGCAAAAACCAAAACTGGAAGCGTTCCGTCTTATCAGTGACCGAGGGGCTCGACTACTTTCCGACTCTTACGCAATGCTCTCATCGAGTTCGGCCTGACATTCGCGGGCCTCCTTGCAAAGTACGTTAGTGGGCGTCCATCAGAAGAGTATTAGATGCTTTCTTCTGACAAGGACTTCACCGCTTTCAGCCGAGAGTGATGTTTCAAGGTCCCTTTAAAGTGCATGGCAAACTTCCTGCGTATACTGGCGGTAGTTCAGTTATAGAGCGAGACGAGAACCAATCAGCGGTCAACACCAAATTGGAGATCCCATCTCGTTTGAAGAGATCGAAGTGAAGCTAAGAGCCAACTCAGAACGAGCATTTCAGCACGATGCCGCAGTGCCCTGAACATCACGTCCCAAACGGCAGTAGAACGGAGGTCTCGTAGCCCCCTTGATTGTAAGAAATTCCGAAAACACATTCCCGCGAGTTGAGTTTTGCTTACGTGGGCACGTTGGCGCATGCGCTCATGACGTTCTGAGCGGCGGCCGGCGGCAGGTCTTTGCTGGGGCACGTGTTCCCGGGCGTGATTAATACGCCCAGAGGGCCCTGCGAAATATCGTAAAGGTTTGTGCCGGTACAATCTATCATACCATTTTCTCCGTCTCAGGACCCCCTTATTATTGTCTTTGCTGGGACACGTGTTGCCGGGCGTGATCGCCACGCTCAGAGGGCCCTGCAGAATGAGTTGCAAGATTCAGTCTTTCAGAATATCTCACTTCGCTGTTTGGAAACGATGCCTGCGTTCGAAAAACGCCGAGACTGCAACGGCGCAGCTTCTGCTTTCTGGTTCGATTGCGGGATGCGTTCCATATTGGGCGCATGACTCTATTTGGCGCTGGCTTGCACTGTGGCTTGATACGACGCACGGCACCTCTGCTTGCGGTCTTGGCAACGAGCCAGTTCAACTGAACGACACAACGATGTACGCAAATCTTGAGATGATACAGCCGGACGTAGCCAATAATGGTTCAGGAACGTTTGCATCGTAGACGCATAAGGAGGAATGGCTTGCATGAGAGACTTTAACGGCAGAACTCTTACGACGGACTCCCGTCTCCGTATTGAACAGTCAAGGAGGAGGTCCCCCTCAGCAACCAAGAAATTGAATGCATTGGGCTCGTGTGGATATGGAAACGACGAGATTAGCGGTAAAGCCCAAGTTTCGAGTTCAGACTCCCGATCTGCGAAGCTCAGAGTACTAAGGAAGTTGATTCTGAACTGGAAATCTGGAAAAACCAGAATTATCCACAAAGGAGTTGATTGCGGATTCAAGAAGCTCGAAAAGTCTGCGCATGCAATGGAAGCCTGATATTCAGTTTCACGGATGTTTGTAAGTTCTTCTGTATGGGTGCGCACCACTTCACACAAGTGCGATCAGCTTCTCGTCACAAAGCTCGTCAAGATCGTGTGCATCAATTCATTTCCAAAACCGTAGCTCGACGAGTAAAGTCCACGAGAGACTCTATGCCTTAGTATGCACCGACCTACAGCTTTTAATGCTTACCGCGCACAGCTGGCGAAGGTCGATGGTAACGCCCAGGGGCGCGAGCGCCTGCTGCGTTACGGCGAGGCACGCCTGCTCCGTGTTGAAGTCGATGGTGGCAGTGCCCAGCGTCTGTGGAGGGGCCAGGGCACCCGTGACGTCAGCTTCGACATAGTCTTACGAATTCAAAGCTCGGATGCTTCAATCGTGGCCCTATGATGGTCTCAGAGATGGCGACGCGCAGAAAGGGTAAAAGGTTGATGGAAGTCTTGAAACGAAGCTGCATGACAATGTCTTGCTACTGGCGCCTTGCCGCACCCACCGATCCTTCACGGTCTTCAGATTGCGGGTAAAATGGCCGTTGCTAAATTGCTGAATTGACAACCGAACTTGCAGATCCGTGCTCTTCGATGCAACACATTTCTTTCACTTGGACCTAAAAACCCTTGCTTAGGTCCCATCCCCTTTTTACCCGCCGTGCTTTCGTCCGACAGCAATTCAGATGGAGCAAATCGTGCAGAATGAATGAAAAGGCCTGAATTGGTCTTCAGATGCTCCACCGGAAATCCCCACCTGGGCTGCCTGGGGTGACGCAATCCCGGCCATCTCCCACAAACCACTGATGGCGCTGCAGCATGCGAGCTGGGACAGCTGCGGACCGGTACAATTGGCGGCGACCGGTCCCAGTGTGCTCGGGGCGAATGTGACGCCGGCGCACTGCCCGGGGGCTGCCCCAACTGCGATCAAAGATGAGTTTCCTTTCATGTTTCATTCATTCGACGGAGAGAGAGTTGTGGGCAGAAGAAAAAGCTGTGAGCAGGATGGGTCCAAAGGCAGCGAGCTTGATGGAAGAAAACCTGCGGCTTTGGAATACAGCACTCGAGGGAACTGCAGCGTTTCAAAAGAACGGAGTCCTAAGGCTGATAAGATTCTGCCTGCTCCGTCTAAACGGATAAGGGTCTGCTTTGATAAGTGGTCTGTAAGATAAGAAATCTTGAGTCTCTCATGAGTAATTGTGTCGATTTTATGCTCGCCAATCGTGGGCCGGCTATCTCAAAGGAACTGTATGAAGCGGGAAACATCGACTACGTTACTGCTGTTAATGAAAGCCCGATCTGCGACTTTTCTTGTGACCTCCTCAACGTCAAATCTGGGACGGCTGCGCGGTGAAGTCTCGTAGTCCTTCTCTGAAACCCTGAAAGTCTCAAATGTGGTATCTTAGGGGAGCTCTGTTCCTTGCGTCTGAACCGATCAATGCCACTGGGTTCATCGTGAGGACACAAGTTCGGACGTTTAAAACAACCTATGTGCATGTCCTTCAACGTCGAACAATTCAAGTTGGGGACAAAGTGGCATGGAAACAAAGGGATCGTTTCTAAGATCCTTCCTCGCGAAGACAACTGACCTGGAGGCAGCCCGGGCGACGGCGGAGCCATGGGGATGGGCAGAGGTGGCGCCTGCTGGAGCACACGGGAAGCCGTGGACCGGGCTGAGAAGCTGACTGCCAGGAGAGCCAGGTAAAAGCAAAACCTTTGCGATGCCGCCATTTATGAGCCACTTGTTTAACGAGGTGTCTGAGCTTTGCCTTTTCCAGAATTCTGAAACTCCTCTGCTTGGTTTGAGAAACTTTGGACCGATATAGGGGAACTCTTGCGAGGACCTTTGAGGCGCTGGCCCGTGTGGTGGACGAACCAACTGAGCGGTGGAGACCTCCCGAACGGCTCTTGACTTGCTTCGATCTTCTGAAAGGCTTTGTCAAGGGAAGTCGGGGACGGCGAGCGCCTCCAAGAACTCAACCAACACGGCCGGGCCACCTTTGCCGTCCTGCACAGGAACAAAAAAAGCAACAATCTGGAAACTATTGCTACTGTAGCATCTCAAACCGTTGGTGGCAAGGAACTTATCTAAAGCTAGGGCATACTTTGCTGTGGACTTTTGGTTGGTGAAGCTAGCGAGCAGACTCCCAACTCTTGTCAACTTGACGAAAGAAGTGGCGCCCCGGCTCAGCTTTTATAAGCCGCGAGGGCTCATGCATGTAGCAATGAACGGCGCTACTCACTGATCAAGCGCATGCCTGGCAGGCGGATTTTGGCGCGGGTTGCCGCAAAACGAAGGCTAAGCTCTGAGGGGCTCACACAGTCACAGGAGGGCTGAGTGGCTCAGATAAGCCCGACCGTGAAAGTAAGGAAAATCGAACGACGCGGTCCTGACGATCTCGAGGAACCTTTTGTCAGATAGAAACATGAGCGGACATACAGCGGAAAAGTCAATCAAAGTCCTGGAGAAACCGTCGGACGTGACCCATGACTTGACTCTGCATGAAGCTCGATCGGCCCACGTACTTGCTCGCGCGCGCGATTCACCCTTAACGCACAACCGTCCTCCGGTAAAAAAGCGAATGCTTATGTTTCCATCACAAGGTTGACAAGCGTTCCAGCATCCCGCGCTGCCAAATCGACAGATGCTACTGTGTCATACGTCAGGAGGCACATGGAAAACCCTTCCGGAGTCACTTGCACAACTGTCAGGCCCGGGCCCAGTCGATTCTTGTATAATCTAATCTATCGCAAGTTAAACATGCTCGCATTGAGGGAGGGCGTAATTGAGGTCGACCTGTGTTGCAAAGCATGCACACCGTCCAAGATGGAGGCATTCAAAGAAGCAGACGCTCATTCATGCATGCCGCACTTGCTGCATTTCTTTTTAGCAACCTCTAATTAAGTTCCGTGCAACGCATGCGTACTTGATCAACCAGTTACCTAACGTTAATTACCTCTCTTTGGGTACTGCAAGTCTTCTCGTTGACAAAGTGACTAGCAAAAACCCTCCCATACCTACTGTTAACACACCTGCTAATATGCACAGCTTTGTTCCAATGCCAAGATATGGCGTCGCAAAACATGCGGCTGACGTAGCAGCACTCTGCCAGATCTTCCACTGCGCAAAACCGGATGCCTGCTCGAAGAACGATTATAAGAACATCAGTTGAAAACCATCGACCACGTGTCATCGCCACGGTGGGGGATTGGTGTGCAGTCAAAGTGGTCTTTGGAGAAAGGAAAAGTGAAACAGCAACCTGGTTCGGATAGAATGCACAGTCTTCGTGACTGCGAATGGGCGCAAGCCAAAATTCACTCTGAAAAGAGCTCACTCGGCCATTCGGGTTCGCATAGTGAGCACGGAGAGGTCTGCTCGAGACTCCACAATGTCGTGGTTGAAGAGCCGGAAAATGGGGTTCGGTTCCGAAAGAGGTCACAGCGAGCCAACCAACTTCGGAATCGTAGGCGCTCAGTCGTCCCATCCAATGCATCACTTCATGAATCGCAGCTGCCAGCAGATTATGTGGGCGCAGCAGTCCGTTTGCAAATGAAAGCTGAGCTAAGACGCATTCGGAAAAGTGTGCACAAAAGGTCACTTTCTCCACTCACAAGTAATTTCAGATGGGATCATAAGAGGAATGTCATGAATTCTCACCGTGTCATCCGGAAAGCAGATCCCTAGGATTGCGCTGATCTGCGTGTTGAAGACGGCGTCCCCCAAACCCCACAGGAAAGCCGCCGTGAATAACGAAGCGTAGTCCGTACTTGACGATCCAAAGCTGGGAGGAAAACAAGTAAGCGTATGAGCAAGTCCACTTTGTTGTTTCCGTTGCGAAGTAATCAATCAAGGAACCTTGAAACATTTCGGCAGGCCCGAATGGTAAATGCTAAAGGCTACGAGGTTCATCCGCCAAACCAGGCGACGATAATCTGCTTTCCGCAGATTTAGACGGTTCTTCCCGTTGAGAGTGATTGCCATTCGCAATAGTATCCAAGGGTGTAGAAGAGAAGGTAAAACGCGTTTTCGTAAGCAAAAGAAAAGGACCGGTGGTCTCACTCAACATGATGCTCTGAGGCAACATGAGCTTTACTTTTCGAGAAAATTTTGGGCGACATTCTGAATCGCAGCACTGGGACTTCTCCCTCTTCCAAACAACAAATCGTACTAACTTGGAAACACCTCGCTTTTCTAACGGGGTCTACGAGCTGCCGCGAAAGATCCCGCAGCGTTTCGGGGGTAGGAAGCGACATGCCAAGCTGCAACTAGAGGCGGCGGGAAGCGCTCACCTGGACTTGACGAGCAGCGCGATGAGCACGAGGAGCTGCGCCGCGGCACCCCCTGACACGAGAAACGTGATGGAGTGCATGCCGGAGGAGAGCTTACCGGCGAAATAGGAGGCCTGCGAGAGGACGAAAACTTAGAGAACTTAGAATTCTAGAAGCTCCTGAAATAGAGCGGCGAAATTGACGACGTAGAGGCCCATTCCTTTTGGGCGAACCCAGCCCAGCGGAGAGGTGTAATAAGCTGTGATGTCTAGATTATGGATATCGAAGCCTGCGTGCTCAGAACGAGCGTCCCGAGCAACTCTTACGAAGACGCTGTGAAGAAGGGTGCGAGCGGGCAAAGCGTCACTGATGAACAGCAGACGCGGCAAGCCAAGCAGACACCACCTAGTTCTACCAAAAAGGAAGTGCAAGTCAAGAGAAAAATTGTTGACGCGGCCAGGGATGCTCAAGAACCGGGCTCACACGGAGAGAAAAGGTCTTACTCTGAGGAAAGACGAGCCAAAGAGACAACGCAGACGACGCTTCTCGACAGATCAGCTCAAGATACATGGGGCTGCAGCAAGAATTCTAAATCCTAGTAATCCAACTTTCGTGCTCCAAACTGTAACCACCCCCAACTTTCCAGACTCCATCTCAACTCTCCCACGCTAATAAAACTGTGTGTCCGCAAAAGAAGAATCCCAGTTCCAAGAGATGCGCAAAGATGCTGTCACCAGCGCATCTGACGCTCCGAAGACGGCCATGACGCCCCCGACCCAGGAGACCCCGAGTGCCGGGGTTACAACGTCTTTCGTGAAGTCGGACCTGTAGAATCGTGCGGCACGATCAACAATCAGCGTCCCAAGCAGAAGATATGGTAGGATAGGACTCAAGTCGCTTGCTTGGATCTCAGAAAGAGCGCGGGCTTTTACTAACACGAAAAGCAACGGCCTGTTTCGTCACAAAGGAATGTGGCGCGAGGAAGGATAGGACCTGCCCGACCGAGGTTGAGTGCAATCAATGCAAAGGCAACACGAAGAGGATACGAAAGGCCGCTTAGTATGCGACTGAAGAATTGTAAGGGTTGTCGAACTCGTCGAATAAGTGTTGACCATTCTCCCACACAGGTTCGACGAGTACGACGATCTTGACCGACTGGAAGAACACTCTGTAATGTGGAATCTCGCGCTGCGCACTTTTAGCATGCGCAAATTTTGGCTTGCCCTGCTTCCGCCATTCACCCACCTCTCACTGATCATTCGAGGAGCGGAGGAATGCAATTTTAAAGGAATACCAAGGCCTGTCCCGAGAGAGACCGTCCAGCCTCACGGATTCGATGTCAAGCAAACCGTGGAGCATACTTGCACTGGATTAGTAATCGGTAAATCCTAAGAGTTAACAAAGAGACTCAGGCAGCAATCCCTACCGCTTCATGCTCGCCACAAAAGGTCTATCCAAAGCCATGCTCGGTCAGCAGAAATGTAATACATCCCTCAAATGTCTGAAGACAGAAAACCAGCGATGATCACAGCCTGCGCGTCCCGAAGCATTAGCGCATCCGCAACTCACCAAATGAACGCCTGCTGCAGCCCCGAGTACACCATCAACGCCAGGAGGAGCAGCAGCCGTCGATCGCCCAGCAGGGCCATCGTGGACCGTAGATTCGACCGGATGCTCACGGGGGGATCATCCGCTCCCAGATCACGTGCCCCCTTGGCTTCGGGGCGCAGGAAGCACGCCGCAACGGTCCCAACGGACATGCAGGCGAGGAAGACGGCGAAGAGGAGAGTCGTGGCGAACTTGTCGACGTGGCCAGGATGCGCGGGGTCGGACTGCCGGAGGGGCGAGAAGAATTTGTTAGAAGTCGATGGGGTATGAGCAGTAGCCATAAGCTATAGCCGGAAAACACGCCCCGACGGTTCTGGCGGACATGCAAGCGAGGAAGACGGCGAAAAGGAGAGTCGTGGCGAACTTGTCGACGTGGCCGGGATGCGCGGGGTCGGACTGCGAAAAGGGGATACGATCTGTGGGGAAAAGTCCATAGCCTATGGGCAAGAGTCAGTACGCAATGCCAGGCTACGCGGACGTATCTAGACCGTGTACGCAGGATAAGCAGGTCGTGCGAATGACGAAGGTTGGTTGAGCAAGTTTGCAATCGTGTTGCTCGAGGATGAACAGCCACCTACGTCCTGAACTTGGCCGAAACGACGATCTGCGGGTGTTGCGAGGCCGAAAGGGATAGATACCTTCCTGTTGAAACGTCTTGGAATGAGTCGTCTGCTTTCAGAGCGACGCGATAACATTGCCCGGGTATTTGCCCGGTGCTTTGCGGAAGGGACGCCTTGATAAATGGAAAACACCTCGAGAGAGCAGAGCCGAGAACCTTGCGAAGTGCCGGGGTATAGCCCCAAGTTCACAGAGGAAGGCGGTCTCACCCGACCGTTTCGAAGGAGGAACAGAGCCAGCAGATTACCCACAACCTGAAAGGAGTAGAACGAAATGGTCAGATTTCTAAATCGACTTCCTCTTCTGGCTCGATGCAACACGTCCCCTTCGGCCGACTCATCGTTGCCGACATTGAAAAGCAGGCACGAAAGGGGGTCAAGGTTGCCATTTCCACCCGGATGGACTTCCAGTGATAGGACAGTGTCATAACGGGTCGGATCCAGCGGCGTAGTTGGTAGGAAAGAAACGTGTTGTCTCATAGACCAGCATGAGGACTCCAGAACGAAGAGGATGAGACTGCTCTTGCAGCTTCTTTCAACATTATAGTGACTTTCGTGACTTTGCCTGAGTACTCGGAAGGTATTCTCGACAGGCTTACCCACTTCGTCAGCCGCTGTTGCCGGATAGCAGCTTATTCAGGAATAGGGAACTTCGAACGACACCGACCAGATTTTTGTACGACTTCGTTCTTCAACAAGACCACTGCATCTCAATCAGCATTTCTCAAAATTTGGAGCTTTTGCACCACAAATGTACGCACCTGATTACTTGCGAAGACTGCCCAGAACACTCCGTTGAACTCGCCTATCGTGGATTCCTCCGGGCTGCCGCACGAAGCAGAATGGGCGCGCGCTGCGGATGTCAAGTACGTTCCCTGTAGGAAAACCCTCGAAGGTCACTTGCCTATTTTGTACGGCTAGCACCTAATGACTGAACCGCTGCACAGTCCCATCGTTATCCTATCATAAGACAGCTCCTTCCTGCGAGAATCATTCGTGCTTTTCTGCGAGACACTTCTGAGGGCGAGAAACACAGGAGATCTCGTTTCAGCAACGTTGATGGAATGGCGCATCGAAAAGAGTCTGGCGTAAAATGAAAGTCTAAAGCAGCAACTGAACATGATCAGATGTATCGAGGTGGACCATTCGCCCGGCGTGCGTGTTGTTCACAATCTTAGCAAAGGGCATCGACAGGTCTTTCCAAGCCAAGACCGACATTACCTGCTCTTCTCCACGTGCAAGCGCAAGCCTTATGAGGGCATCTGAATCCTCACCTCAGCCACCCAGAGAATGGACGCAGTGAAGCCTAGGTACGCAGATGCAGGGACCAAAGTGAACCTAGGAGGGAAGCGAGCATAAGCGAAGTCAGCGCTTCTTGATCCTATCAACCTGGTAAGCACACGTGCAACTTTCTAAAGATTCGGTTCCTTATCAGGCAACTTGTTCATAATCCAAACAAAGTAAGGTTTCCGGGGTTGCGCGGGGTGGGCGAAGAATGTGAAATGGACCAGTGCAATGTGCTGAATGATCGTAGTACCTATAACTGGAATTTAAGCCCCCTTCTGTGATATTTCAGCTTCTGACCACCTAATCCGGCAAGCCAAGTCAACATCTTGATCTGATTAGCGGCAGCGACAGTCCAGAAAGTAACAAGCACAGAAGCAAGAACCCTCCAGTCCCCTAGATCGACAAAACTCGTAAAACCCTCACCATGTTGGGACCAGATTGGCAGCCACAAAAGCCCAGTAGCCGGTCAGCCCCAGGAGAAGAGCGTTCTTTGCTCCTAGCCAGTGGACAAAGAGGGGCGCCAGAAAGGAACACACTGTGAGGAAGCAGTAGAGCACACCCATGGAGATGGGGCCCAGGCCTTGGTCCTGAGGAGAAGAAGTATAGGATATCAAGCTTTCTCATATGCTATAGCTTGTAGCTTCTATAAGCCTTGGTCCTGAGGAGAAGAAGCGTAGGCCATAAGCATCCAAGTTATACTTCGTTGCTCTAAAAGCTACATTGCAACCAGCATTAAGCTTCGCCTTGTGCGTGTGGGGCTTTCGAAGGATACTGGTTTCCATTATGGTGAAAGCGCGGAAACCTCTGATCGGGGCTTCAGAGCGACCTTGATTGTGATGCTTGATCTACAACGGCTCTACTTAGGTGGTGAGAGAAGTTTCACGCTAGAATAGCAACAATATATTTTTCAATGGAGTCAACCGGAAGCTGACGGAGCGAGGGAGGGAGAAGATCAAGGAAACAGTGGTGAACACGTTTTCCAATTAGCTTGCACACATCAAGAAGCCCTCAGCAATTTTATGTGCCCCTGCGTAGGGCAGAGTGGTCAGGAGTAGACATTGACGCCTTTCAAACAACCTGCAGTGAATTGCAACGCCTCAAGATGTTCAAATGGTTCTGGAAAGTACTATACTTGGTTCCAAAAAAACTTACTTACACAGCAGCATCAAATCGTAGCCTTAAAACTGACGATTGATTCTATGATTTCTGAAGACATCAGGCACCTCAACCTGATTGCGTTGAGAGGGTGCAAAGCAACGGTCGTTGCTTTGCACCCTCTCAACGCAATCAGCTTCGCAATGATACAATACCAATGATGAAAAGACAGGATGTTTGAGGGCAAGATGCGCACGATCGGGCTTTTGTGAAGAACCAAATTAGAGGGCATCCGAGCAGAAGGAGCAAGTCAACTGCACGCAATTGTCCCTTTCAGAATGATTCTTAAACCAACCCATCACCTACCGTATTGAGGCTGCTCTCCAGGTTCTGCGTCGCTCCGAATGCAGAGAAGACCAGCAAGAACGAGAAGCTCAGCATGTGCAAGTCCCGCTTATAAGGGCTCCATTGCTTATCCGCAGGGCTACGGAGTGGAGCACCTTCATTGGTCTCACGCGACGACTGGACGCCGTCAGAAGACGTCAGATGAGCATTTGATTCTGAATCCTGCTCTTCCAGCAGCCTGGCCGTGTCCGCTCCTGAGGCAGGGTCCATGGCTGAGGGCTTGAGCTCCTTTCTAAGTTTCATATGTGGGGGATCACATTACTCGCATGCGAACCGCTTTCTTTGTCATGCTTTACACCCCTCGCATCTTTTGGTGGCTCTTTTGGTGGCAAAATCCTTTTCTCAGGAAGTTTCAAGCATCTGCAGGGCATGGCAGAAAGCATACAAGAAAGCACATCAGTTGCATTCGCAAGCCAACTATTAGTTCTGCCCAGCACCATATTATTAAGGTCGAACGTCCCTAATTCGGTCCGCGCGCGCGCGCT